TACACCACTAATTTAAAGCTGTGGACGCTTTGAAATACACCACTCCTGGAAATAGTAACACAAAAGGCCTTATCATGGTTAACGCTAACTTCAATTATACTGTCTTACGCTCTGCTGCTTTTCTATTTACTTCATGACACTTTCTAAAACAGGTTTTGAATAAACTGTACTTCTAAATATTGTTTTCTACATATTTTCATACTTATGGTACAGCTACTTTTACTCGTTAGAACATACATTTGCACCAGTATCCTTCTCCGACCGCCACCAATAAGTTGCCTTTCGGATTTGTTGACCTGATTTTAGTTAAAATCTCTATATTACTGGGTCTATCAATGTGAAACAAATGTGAAAGTTTTTTTTTTTTCATAATAGTGTGGAGGTGGTGTCATTTTTCAACCTCCAAAGAAGAGATTGTCAGCTAAAATCACTTCAAACCATAAGATGTGACACGTTTGTGGAGCCAGTCTCAAATAAATTCTACCAAAGTTCAACATTTATGGATCATAAATTTGGTTACATATTTCAAAAACAGTGTGTCTCCCATACAGTTTTATAGCTCCCTGTCCTCCATCTTAAATTAAAGTCAAATTGCAGACTGCGAACGCAACGTAATAGATACCTGCAAATCATATAAGTGGTTCATCCAGGGTGACAAACTGACAGTACAACCACCAACCTTCCAGTTATAGGGCAACCGCTTTACATCCACTGAGCCACTGTTGCCTCTAATCCTTATTTTCTGTCCAATACCTATAGTCTTTTGGTTTGGCACTGGACCTTAGAAGAGGGAGTGTAAGAGTTATAGCTCTCAGTGGAGACACGTGGGGCCTGTCTGCAGAGGAGCTATCGGAGCAGGGGGAGGAAGGTCTAATGTTTTTAAATGAAGACGAACACCTCCCTTTGATCTGCCTTTGGCCTCTTCTCTCAGATAAAAAACAACACCACTTACAGTAATCTCAGCCTCCAGACAACCTTCTACTCAAGGCAGGACTTAAAAGAGGAATAAGTGAACGTTTTTGTGTGTGTTAAAGTTCGTGTTTTTGTTCAATCCGGTGGTAAATGGATAAATAAATAAATATGGATGTAACAATAACTGAAATATCGTGATATCGTATCGTCAAAGTTCTCACAATAATATCGTGGACCATCACAATATATCGAATTACAAGTCTCTTTGCTTAAATTAAGAGTTATGGTGCAGCAATAGCTAAAAAAAAAAAAAAAACTAAAAAAAAACTGTGGGAACTACATAGACCATGATCCTTTGCTCCATTTCAGTGCAGACTACAAGAAGAAATAACAGTTCTAAACACTTCTAAGTCTTAATTCTTTGGATTAAGTCTTGTCAAGGCATTTTAAGAGGAAAAAGTAGCATATTCACAGTTTTGTTAGCCTCCACATAATATCACAATAAATATCGTACTGTGAGATGCATGTCATGAAAATATCGTACCGAGAGATTTGGATATTGTTAAATCCATAATTGTGAGCCTATATTGTAAGCTTTCCCATGATATCGCAATAAATATCATACTGTGAGGTTCATACTGTGATAATATCGTATCTTGAGACTTGGATATCATTACACTCCTAATAAATAAGGAACAACTTTGCCACTCTTCTGTATCTGTACATAGATCATACCTAGAGGTGCGTAGAAGTAATCAGTGTATCAAGGACACTTCAAGAATATTTTATCGAGTCACTTTTTAATTATGAAATATTACCCTCTATACCAGACATGTCAAACTCAGGCCTGGGAACCAAATTTGGCCCACGTTATAATTATATTTGGCCCACAAGATCATATCAACTATGTATTAGAGCTGGCCTGCTGGCTACATATAAGATATAGAGAGATTATTTATTACAAAGTTTGTTATTGTTTTATATGATGCTTGTTCTGGATTCAATGTTTAAGCAGAACTATTATTAAACATTTATTTGAATAAGAAAAGGTTTAACATTACATATCATGAAAGAAGAGAGAACAGGCAGATGTTGTTGAAATTTTGTTCTAGTTTTTAATTTTGGCCCTCTGTGAATTTGAGTTTGACACCCCTGCTCTATACTTTGCAGGCATTACACCTTTACTCCTACGTGAGTACAGGATAACAGTACACTTGAGTAAAAGATTTGGTTACTCTTTCCACTATGAAGTCTATAACTACAAGCCTTTGTGTGACAATATTTCTTGTTATTATATAATTTCTTGGCTGCCAATCTGCTCCAATGGCTTTAAAAATTATAGCCTGTAGCCTTCGCATTGTTTGTTAAAGATCATCAGACTAGACCGTGTAATCGCATCCCTCAAAGCTCTCTTCTTTATAAATATGTGACTTGGTGTGCGTAATTGCAGCCGCTAATAAAAGGGATAGCCGTGATGCATGTTGAGGAATCTTGAGTTTAACAGTGAAGCGCCTGAAGTGTATGGGACATGCTCGGGCCTGCCGTCCCACGTAAACCCGGACATCTTTTACCATAGACAAGACAGGAATGAGTCTTGTATGAATGGCGTTCTGTGTGTGACAATGACTGCAGCACTCAGCATAGAGCCAGTGGTCAGAGAGAGAGGGAGAGAGAGAAAGGGAGAGAGTGACAGAGAGGGAGAGAGGGTGCTGGTGCGGACTACAGCGGGCGAGTATGTGAAATTACCCAGGAATGTGAGGAGACATGCCAAAGACAGAAGAATTTGAGTCGCATTCACAAGCAACCTTAGCCTCCTCTGTGCTGAAGGAATACCCCAATCCCATCAAAAGGCCGGGCATGAAAGCTGCGCGGCGATGGTACTAATGGAAGTCTTGTGCGCTGGCTTAAGGCTGCTGCTGGAGGTTATAACCCCAAAGATAAGGTGTTTTTTCTGCCCCTCAAATCAATGTCCTCTGACAGCGGCCGCCAGATCTCAGGCTTTGTTCACTGTGGTGTCAGAAGTGGACCAAGTTATGATCAAGTGACAGGGCCAAACTGCATGAGAAGAGTACAATTATTAGAGCTGTTATCATGGGGGGAAAATAGACATTCAAGTACAAGTACAAAAGAATTAATATTTGAGAGTTCAGTTTAAAAACAGATTTTTTTTCTTTTCATTTTGATACCATCATCTAGACCAGGGGTGGGCAAACTACGGCCCGGGGACCGTATGCGGCCCTTTAATCTTTTTAATCCGGCCAGCCGAACTTGAAGAATAATAATAATAATAATTTTCAGTGTTTTAAAAGTCATTTCAGTAAATAGTAAATACCGTGGGACTTGAAAGACAGATATTTTGTTGTAATGCTTTGTAATGATTTTTATTTATGGGATATTTCAATAACATGAGATATGTTTTCTACATATCCCATGTTATTTTTTTCATTTTATGAGGTGGATTACCAAAAAAACTCCATCCATCTGCTCCTGGTCCAGCCCTTCCAACAAATTTTAGAATCCATGTGTCAAAAAGTTTGCCCACCCCTGATCTAGACATATTATTAATAACTATGAGTGTAATGATATCCAAGTCTAACAATATGATATCGTCAAGGTATGAACCTCATGATACAATATTTATTGCAATACTGTGGGAAAGCTCACGATATGATTGGGAGGCTCATGGTTAGAGATATTACAATTTCCATTTATTGCGATATTTTTGGAGGCTACAAAAACTGTTAAAATGCTACTTTTTCTTCTTAAAATGTCTTTGACAAAGTTCTTGACAAGACTTAATCCAAAGAACTAAAACTTAAACGTGCTTAGAAGTGTTATTTCTTTATGTAGTCTACGCTGTAATGAAGCAAAGGATCATGGTCTATGTAGTTCCCTCTGTCTTTTTAAATTTTTTTTTAGCTATTCTTGCACCATAACTCTTAATTTAAGCAAAGAGACTTGTAATTCGAAATATTGTGATGGTCCACTATATTATTGAGACAACTTTGACGATACGATATTATGATATTTCGGTTATTGTTACATCCCTAGTAATAACAGTATATTTGAGGTGATTTGCTTAAAGGTGCACTATGTAATGTTTTGGTTAGGGGTCCGTCACCTGCTTGTTTCTATGGATATGTCATTGCTCTACCTGGAATGTTCCACAGTATGACTTTGAACAGCTCTACCATACATTTATTCAATTACCGGTGGTTTTATAGAACAAAAACACCTCAAAAAACATTCTGACTGTGAGCGGATTTGCCTCTCCACAGACCTGACCTGTAACTTTGTCTAGTTTGGTCTCAATGAAGATAGAAAGGTTTAATGTCATACTGTGATACATTCTAGACAAAGCAATAACTCTAGTCTCCATGGAGAAAAGCATCTGATGGAACTTCTACCAGAAAAGTTACACAATTTACGTTTGAGAAGGGACTGGATATTTTTATTGCACTAAAATAAATGTGTTTTTTAATGAATTATAAGACTTCAAATTTTTTTTTTACTTGACAGTTGTGCATCTTTGCAAACTCTTCAATTGTAATGTTATTAGGGCTTTCTTCAATTCATTCTTTGATGTTTTTTTTAGTCACCTATTTTATTAGGATTAGAGATAATATACTCAACAGCGGAAAGTAAAGAGTTAGCTGGAGTTTTAGCGTGACTTTACAGTTTAGTTTGCCTTTTAGAAGCACTTCTCTGTATTCATAGCTGTTTTTGCACAAGATCCTTATAATTTTGAGATTTTTATCTAGTACCACGTCCTCTGTTGATTCATCTGCCCTGTTGTGTGGCTTAGTGGTAAATCTGCAGCCCATATGTAGTTCTGAGCATTGATCACTCTGCTGTGTTGTCCCGTTGAACACATGGGCTAAAAATGTGTAAACAAAAAGAAATAGCAGAATTAAAACTACAACATTCATTAGTAGTTATAATTACTTCCCAGTCATATACAATATAATCTACATGTTTACGATTACGACTGAACCACTGCCAAACTGTAAACCAATTGCTTTTTAACAATTTATTTATAGATTTGTATCTTAAATTCTTTCCGTACAACTGTAGTATTCACACATTCTCTTTGCTCTGTTTAGCTTTGGCGCTAACTTGAGGAGAACCAAAAGAAATCAAGTTAGCATCAGCCACAAGTAACTTCAAAACAACAGTCATCAACACAGGAGTCATACACAGCTATGACATAAAAATAAATACTTTACAAAAATAATGCAATGCTTTTTACAAAGAGGAGTGATGATCGGACTTGAAAAATTATTGGTAACAAAATCTATATAAACATACTCAAAGTTTGTATATCAACAGTCAAAATGAGAATATTTTTGTACCCTGTCCTGTGTCCTCGACCCAAAAATGTATTTCACAAAGATTGTTATAACACTCACATTCAGCTAGTAACAGTGGTTCTCGAACTATGGTGCGCATGCCCTTGGTGTCTGCAGGCTTCATCTGTTCATTTTCAGAAGTCTTTTCCTGGTTTTTGCCAGTACCATGTTTTGTCCTTATTTAGTAATGCATTTTTCTGGTGATCCCTGTTTTATCCCTGGGTTTAAACTCAGGTCAGTCCTGATTTAGGGTCATTTTAGGCAGTTAAAGCGGAACTCAGCAACTTCCTTCACTTTGGAGGTCACTTAGTAGAGCATTCAGCCCCTGATACAAGGGTTGGAGGTTTGATCCCTGCACCCACCAGTGCATACAGCTGCTGTGTCCTTAGGTAAGACACTTGAGTGAATGGGTGAGCTTTGAATTCTTAATAGAGGTAGAAAAGCGCATATCAATATATTTTTTTCTAAAACATTTGCTAGGTTCTTTTACTAGGATGTGTTTATTTCTTGAAAGATTCATGATAGGTAAAAAAGTTACAGAGTTCTGCTTTAAATGGTCCCTGTAAAGCTCTGATGGTACATGGTGTAAAAGGTTTGGGAATCACAATAACAAACATGGGCAGTATACATTCCTAGAACAACAAGTTTCCCTTTTTTCAAAGTCCCTTTATCACAATAGCTGCAAATAGTACACAATATGTCATTCATATCTCCATTTTATACATTTAAAATATTGTCCAAAATGTTCATGTAAAAAGTTATTCAAATCTAGCCTCTAAACTTGTGCTGTCCCATGTTTAAAGTCTAAAATTCCCTGGCTTCTTCAAACTGTTTGTAGTAGTCCTCATCTTGTGGATTTTCTGGACACTTCTGCCCGTTGTTTGGTGGTCTTGCCTGGTTATATCGACTCCAGTCCCCCTTACAAATGATCCACGGCAGGATGTCCACCTTATAGTGCAGGTCTGCTGAGAACTCAATACTGATGAGGTTAGGAGTCCCCGCCCCTTTACCGCGAGTGATTAGCTTCATATTATCGTCATAGCAGCAGTGTTGAGCGGCCAACGTGGTGGACTCTAGCGTCAACATGGACCTAATGCAGTAGCGGGCGGTGGGTTTGTAGATTTCGAGTTTTTCCTTGGGCCCGCTAGCGTCTTTCCACCTAAAGTCTTTCCTGGTGGGGGGGTCGTGGACATCGGCCGTGCTGTAGGCCACCTCTGTGGGGTAGGAGCAGGGGCAGCTGGGCAGGTCGTTGGCCACTTTGGTCATGTATTTCTTCAAAAAGTCGCTCTTGCAGTTCATCCAGCGCTCACAGCTGTCAGTGTCTGAAAGAAAGAACAATTACTTCTCTGTGTATTTAAAAAGCAAAGTTTGAAGTTTGCATTTCATAGTTACAAGTCTAATTAGTTGTGGATAGTTAGGGTATAGTTACGAAAAAATGTCTAAATATTTTTAATCTTCTTATTTCTGTTATAGAGGGACAATATTCTAATATGCAACATTCACGGCCGGTGCATGTGAATGAAAAAACATGAATTATGGATGTCTGAGAAAGGAAGAGGAGAGGAGCAGAGGAAAGGACAAGGACTGAAAGAGCGAAAGTAGTGAGGGAGAGTGGGGCACCTTTTACCAAATGCTTTTAGGACCAAAGACAATTTCAGTGTCTGCAGGTAGTCCGCTAAAGCAGGTTAAGACATAAAAGCGATCAGGCAACACTTACGTTCCCAATAGAACATAAAACTGAAGATTACATAAATGTAACCTTGTATTTTTGAGAAAATGTGTAGGACTGATTGAAAATGATTCGGGTCCTTGCGTGTGAGCTTGCATTAGGGTGATCTGGATTCTTTGGGCCTAATCCACATACCGCAAATATCAATAGACATAGCTAACATATCAGCCACTGCGTTCCAAATAGGAAGTGAACATGGGAGCGCGTTCGGCTCCATCGACTCTGTTTCCAATTGACTTAACGTTGAAAAATCATCTCTCTGTAATTGTTGCTGTGAGCCTCGTCATTCTGGTCTTAAATTGTTTGTGTTAACCCTCTTTACATGATCCTGGTGTTTTTATTTCACAGTATTGTCCATAAATAAATTACTAATCCTAATACGAAACTCGCCTCCACATTCGCCCCTATAACCGCTGGCATCGTGAGCTTCACTTGACTTGAGCCGAACGCTATGAGTGACGTCACACGATGGACTGATCCAATCTCCCATACACGTCTTTGGACAGTGGGAGGAGAGGAAAGTAGTACAAGCACTGGCATACATCAGGTTTATGGGTATAGAAAAGGTCAAAACACTTTGCTATGCCTTACTAATTAAGCAATTAACATGCTTGCATCATGACGCTAATGGCAACGGTCTTTAACGTCTGTCAAACCTAATGTTGCTTGTTAGGATTTTTAACTCGCGAACAAAGTTCAGAGTGTACAAAGTGAAAATGTGAACTTTGAGACATTACTTTTTGCTGTCACTGGTTTGACTGAGCACAGTGGAGCTGGATGTGTTCGCTTGTGCCAGATGGAGCCATTTCTCTTGTACATTTCCATCTCTGTAGAGTAATGGAGAGCAGGCCAGGCAGGAGGAATGCTAAATGTGTTCAGAAAGCACCAAGGCCAGATGGATGGAGTGCCTTTGACAGAGCAGGCACATGTGAATGAGGAATCATGTGGAGAGACAGACAGACACTTACCAACTCCAAAGAGCTCTGTGGCATTGAAATCATCTGTCCCTGCCAGCAGACTCACTTCAGTAGCGGCTGTCTTGAAAGCGTCCTCAATACCTTTGGACACATGAGGGCACATACAAAGATGGTGAGAAGGATGAAAGAATCTTGCATCGACACACAAAGAGACGATAGATTTTCCCCAGACTGATCGGACATCTTGAATCTACTACTAACTACTGGTCTGGTCTAGATTTGACTTTGATCTAAACTACAGTAGCCAACCACCTGCCTCGTGTTAGATAAAAATAAAGAGTATGAAAGGAGCAGTCCATTATCACGTACGTAGATACCTGTAAGACTGCACATTGCATACTGTGTATCATTTGTCTTTTGAACACATTCATGAACCCTGGATGACCATCAATACAGGCGTATTAACTGGTTTAACAAGGATTAACCATCAACCTTGTGGTTGAGGGACAATATTATACCTTCTGACCTTACAAAGGCATCTGTATGTTTATTGGTAATGACTGATCTTAAACATTTGAACCTGCATTTGCCCTTCTTCAGGCTACAAACCATTACATACAGTAATACTGACAGGCTTGTACTGAATAATTGATATGGGACAGATAAATAAAGTGAGACTAAGGTAGGATGACCAGATTTTCAAAATCAAAAACTGGGACACTCTCGGTTAGAGTGGTTGGTAATAATAAAATTGTGAAACGAGTGCGTAATTAAGGAAAACTGTTCTGTACTCAGCCTAATCATGACATGTGAGTCAGTACAGTCACATTTTCTTCGTGTTGTGGTCATTTTTATGTAGCTTTTCTGTATATTTTTACATTAACAAATGTCAATATACGGCTCTTTACTGTTGGCAGGTATAACATTGGTCAAAAATAGGGACATCAGGGATGTTTCTTGTATAAACCTGGGACAAATCAATGGTTTTGGATAAATCTGCTGGGACAGGGGACACAGGATTCAAAACTGGAACTGTCATGGGTAAATAGGGACTTAGGAACCTTTCAGTAAAATGAGGTCCAGCATTTGCAATGTTTTCTTGTAACTATTCTTGTAAATATTTTTTCAGTTAATACAAGAATTCTGAATTCCTTTCCCTATAAATCGTTTGACGTTACATTGTAGATGAGTTTCAGAAATAACAGGACTGTTGTCATAGAGCAGGGGTCTCCTTTACAAAACAAAAATGCCAGAGAGCCACTCCTTTTAGTGGCCACAAGAAACTGAGAGCATTATAAGAAAGAGGGCAAGCCTTTGAGTACAGTTAGATACCCATAAAACATAAGCCATTGCCCATTTATTAGTGCACAAAGTTGTGTTTCAATATGATACATTATTATTCATTGTTATTCATCACAGTATAACTCTGAATTCCCTTGGTGAGCTACTTGGAAGGGGGTAGAGAGCTACTGATAGATCCCGAGTGACAGGTTGGAGACCCCTGTCATAGAGTGTATAGTGTTGAAACCCATGAACAGAATCTGAAATCAAACAGCGATAATCCCTCACCGGGACAGTTGGGCATGTCACAGGTCCTGGACTCGGTTGCCGTGCAGGCGTATCCACACGACCGTGTCCTCTTCTGGTTCCCGTTGCCACAGGTGACGCTGCAGCTGGACCAGCCGCTCCAGTCGCCCTCTCCGTCCATGTAGTCTGAGCACAGGGAGACAGAGATGCTTGTTTGTTTGGGTTTTGACATTTGCCTTGATGCTGAGGTAAGGTTGGTAATTATGATTGTAACATTTATTATGCTGCATTTACCTTTTCCATTTAATGCTTTTATGAGGAAACATTAACATAACCCAGACGACTTGAATTCATAATTATATAGGCTTAACACGTAATTAGGTATTTTTACTAGTTTAGGATTAACTTAATGGGAAATTTCAGTAAAACAGTTACACAATTGAGGTTACTGAGGTTAAACATGTCATAACTGCTAAAATCAAGATTAAAATTTGGAATCTATTAGGGTGACCAGATGTCCCTATTTCCCCGAAACAGTCCCAGTTTTGAGCCCTGTATCCCCTGTCCCATCAGATTCATTCAAATCCAGTGATTTGTTCCAGTTTTATATAAAAAATGCCCCAGATGTCCCTATTTTTGACCAATTTGATTTAAACTAGGACTAAACTAAGATTAAGTCAGGACTACATCAAGTCTAAACCATGACTAAAACAGGACCATCACATTTATTTTTGACTACTCTGATTCCCGCCAACAGTAAAGAGAAACATAAATTGTCATTTGTTTAGCCAAAATGCAGAAAACCGTGTTTGCGAATGACCATAAAGCAAAAAAAAAAAAAATGCAGTGGCAGAAGTCCCGCAGATTATGACTGACACGAGAATGCACAATCTTACATGCTCTTTTTACAGTTTATTTATACCAACCATCCCAACTCGGGTGTGTCCCAGTTTATAATTTTGAAAATCTGGTCACCCTAATGTAGTTTTAACCCATGCAAGACTTTTTTTTTTTTTTTTTTTTACTTGAAGGTGATAATGGAAAAAAAAACAAAAAAACACTCTGCTTGGCACACTGGAATTGGACCCTGCTTCATCCATGGTTCAGTGTTTGGAAATCCTCTTTAGCTCCAATTATTACTAAGCAGATCACTATAATGGGCATACATGGAAACAGTTAGCTTAGACTTGAACCACATCACGGCGCTGATACTATCCTTACCGCACACTAACACACGTCGCTAACACACGTCCCTAACACATCTTGAAAGCAGCTCTCCATCAATGAGCTGAATTAATGTGGGCATGTTGGGATGGAAGTGTTTCTGGCCTCGCTCCAAACTGTTCCTATACGCACCTCCTCACCATCTGCCCCTCATTATGGGTATTTTGTATGAATGCAGCCCTGATAGGCATATAGTTCCTGTTCCTGTCTCCAAATAAGGCTGGAGAAGAGTTGGAGGTAGTTTGATGGCTGCTCTGACAGAACTGACAAAGGCTTTCCTCTCCATCTGCACGGCGCAGTGATCAGTTATTACTGTAATTACTGTGCAATAGTTTCAGTTATTTATACTTTGATCTAACTTTAAAAAAAAAAAATAAATAAAAAACAGTTGTCAAACTTAGATGATGTTTGGAAAAAGATGTCAATCCTGTGAGTAAGCCATTCATTTAATTAAGTTAAAATGTTTCTAATCAATTCAGTGGGCCTATTCCTGATCTATGTTCCTCATCAAAAACATACCTTGAGTTGTGTTTTGTTTCATTCACACATGTTTAACGCACAAGCCCTGCAGATTAATCGCTTTGTGTTGCGTTTTTTTGTATGAAAAGCGCTCTATAAATAAAGTTTGATTGATTGATTTATTGAAGGCTGTGTTCTTTTCTCAAACTGAAAACACTCTGTTCCACTTTGTGACGTCATGTGCTCCACTGAATTGCCAATCTCTACTGAACAAAAGGTAAAAATTAGCTATTAACTTGAAAACTACCAATACATTACATCATTAGTTGGAATGGAGCATTTTGAGCTTTGGAGATGTAGACATTCTAATAACAAAGGATTAACTCAAACATGTGTGAATGGGACAGTGGATGGAAATTATCCTTTGGCTATAATCCGCTGTGTTTACATTCATGTTGTATCATGTCTGTCCATTAAAAAGTCTGTCCCAATTAAAATAAATAAAGAAAACACAAGTCCAGGTTTGTTTTTGAGGAGGAAGCAACATCGTAACTCGGCTTAATGCTCACAAAAGTCATTTTTGTGTAATATAGCCCCTTTAAACAAATGACATATTATCTACCTAACCATACACATAGTTGTGCCTATAACTGCCAGAAGCTGAATAAGTTTGCAACCAAATATTTCCTTTTGAGTTATTATTTGAATTTCGACCCTTTACTTCTGCTTGTTAGTACAGCACATCTACTTGCTTACATTCTTGGCTGCTCTAACCATGTGTCTGGCAATAGATTTCCTTAATGATAGACGACCCACACTGCTTGTCCTCAATTACAACCATTTAGTTCAAAACCATGACCCTAATGGTGATAAAATAGCCCCTCGTCCATTGGAGTGGTATGAAATGAAGTATGAAAGAGCTGACCGCAGTGATAAGCCAGAAACATTAAACATGGGGCTATGGTTTGCATTAAAAATATTATAAAATGGCTTCTCAAACCACTGCATACAAGTGGATAAAGTGTCATTTTCCACAGCGCGTGCATTCCTGTTGAACCATGTTGGTTTGGGCATGCTCCGACACGGATACTGTACGTCTGGTGTGAGGGAATTCTTGCGTAGCTGATTTATCTTTTGGGTAACTGTTGTGAGCGGTGGGGCAGATGAACGCAGCTTGTAGCCCCTGTTCCCGCTGGTTTAACTTTGATGTCGTGATGCGTTTTAACTGTGTCACGTAGCCGCTCGGTGCCACATTGGAATCCGGCTCATAAAAGAGTGTTAAAGGCTTCAATCAGGGCTCTGCTGGGACCACGGCAGTTATGATGGTGACAGCTTAAATCAGCAAATCACAAAATTACAGATTCCCCATCGAACTATGGACATCTGTAGACCAGTGTAAAAAGGACCATTATCCAAGTTATTGTGGAAAAACTGTTCTCATCTTCTTTTCCAAAATATTAACTTGTTTACTTTAAAGTGCCCATATTACACTATTTTCTAATCTGTTATAATGTTTCTTCATCAAAAACAAACCTGGAGTTGTGTTTTGTTTCATTCACACATGTTCAACACACAAACCCTGCAGAGTTCTTCATTCAAACAGAAAACACACCTTCTGAGGTCATGTGGTAATGCAGGAAATGCTCCTCTGTGTTTTTAAACTCCATACACCTTTACGAGAATCATTTGGATGATTCTACCCCTGGAAGTTAGCCTGATTCATCAGCCGGTTTCACTTCGTGGAAATTGACTGACCTCGCAGCATTAGAATTCGTTTCCTAGATGGTAGGCGGGTACTTTTTTAAAATTTAACCAGTCTCTGCTCTTTGGTCGTGAAGTATGTAATGCACTGCTAACGGGGCTAACTGATATATTAAGCTTTTCCCAATCCCATAGGAAGAACAGCAATAACGTCTTTCCCCTTGATAAAATTCACCAAACATTCTCTTTGTTCTGACTTTAAATCCTGATCTGTATGGCTTCATCTACATCCATCTCGACCACTTTGTTTACTGTTGTGCTGTACCACAAAAGGGATCCAGACAGACTCTTGAGTTTGACATCATGACTTCACAACTCTTCGCTGATTGGACTTCTGGGGTTCTTGCAAACTGCCTAGTGTATTCTGATTCCTAGTCGCTGGAGAGAAATGAAATTGAGTGGAGACACTAGGTGCTGCCAGCCTGGCTACCTGGAATTGCCAAACTCTACAAAACTACTTTAAAAGTCAGAGGTCACTGTTAACTTGAAAACTGTCACTACATGACATCACAAGGTAGAACAGAACATTTTGAGCTTTGGAAACATACACAGACTAATAACGCAGGATTATTCAAACATGTGTGAATGTAACAAAACAACTCCAGATATGTTTTGATGAGGTAATAGCATCATAACATAACTAAAAGAGTACATTTTGTGTAATGTAGGACCTTTAACTTAACTCATTCCCACTGGAGTTTTTCCTTTCCTGTGAACAGTGGTTAATCTGCTTGTCTGTAATTGACTGATGACTGTTTCATTGTTTAATTTTCTAACTTTCTGTTGGTTAAATCAACAATTTTGCAAAGCCCTGCGAGGCATCTGCTGTTGTGATTTCTGGCTCCACAAAAATAAATTGATTTTCTAATTATTTTTATATACTTGTTTGTGAGATTTGCTGTTTTGTGGTGTCGTAGCTTTGTGATTGGTATGCAGATAGTTGGACTTATCCTTGATCTAAACGAGACCGATCCCACCAGTTGGTCAAAACCAGTTTCTTCTCTGTTAAAGCATTTTAGTATTGAGCTTAGATTTGCCTCTATGTATTGTTTTGTCAAAATGAATAGATCCATTATGTAGTGCTAATGAATGAATGCCACGTTTTCCACAAAAACAAGTGGAAAGATTTGTTAGGGCAGTTTACATGCTGTGCCACCGCAGAAAATATTTGGCTTTCTAAATAGCAGCAGTCTTTAAGGTCTTTGTATGACTAAACTACAACGAAACCAGATCTAACAAAATTAATATACCGTGACTAATCCAGAACCAGAGCAAACCCTTAACTACCCCATGACTAAAGATTTAACTAGCCTACATCAGTGCAGTTTGGGAAGCCCTTATTATTACCATCATTGCATTCATTTCCTCTCACCATATTCGCTCTGAGTTTTGCCTCCTCCAGTGCCCCCTCTCCTGTCCCAGTCGGGAGGTGGTCTGAGGAAGTTGCTGTCTTCGTTTTTAGCTCTGTGCTCCTCTGTCTGGTGGGTGCCCGAGGAAGGGGACGAGTGGGGCCACCAGTTCCTCCAGTTTGGTGAAGCCCAGTTTGGTTTGGTCTCTTTATGGAGGCCTTTCTCCTGTTCGTGTCCTTCCAATCCGTCCACAACTTCTATTGTTACCTGCACGGCAACAAAAAACAACACAGCCTCATTAATGACGACAATATGAAAAGCAAACATAAGGTTATAGGTGCAGCGTGTAACCTTTCTGGTGCTCATGGCAAAATTATTATTGGTTTGAATTTGCTTTCAACAGTATGATATGGAGCTTCTCTAACTACACAGCAAAAACTGGAGGGTTAAAATTTCAGGGTAAAATATGTCAGAGTTGTCTTTAACACCAAAAGTGTTATTTTAACAATTTGAAAGTTAAATGGGGGTTTGAGTTGGAGTTATTTGTCAGAGTTGATGTGGTTGAGGTTAATTTAACTTCCTCTAGTGTTAATTCAACATCTCTTAGTGTTAATTCAACTTCTGTTAGTGTTAATTTGGCTCCTTCCATTCACCACTTCAAACTCTTGTGAGAGAAGACCAGTTTGAACCAGTTTTGTACATGATTTCATCTTAAATTAACTAAAATAAAGTCAAAATAAAATAAAACACCTCTGTGTGTTGTTTAGCGAAATCAGAATAACTCTACAAATTGTTATCTGTTTACTCTCAAAATGTTAATATAACTCTGGATTTCGGGATTAAACAGGAACTTTGGTCCAGTGTTACTTAATTAACATTTCCAAAAATGTTAAATTAACAGAGAACCGATTGGACTCATATAAACTCTGAGAAAATGTTAAAGTTGATTCTGTGAGAGTCAATTTTAACTCTCCACTTTTTGCTGTGTACCATTTATTCCTTATAATATGCATTAATCGCCACTCCACGGATCCGATCTCTAACTTAGCCTGACATTATTGAGTTTGAGGGCATACTGTGGAAAATTACAAACAATACAATGACAAAAGTTGGTAGACTTCCACCAGAAAAGTTACATAATGCAAACTTACCTGGTGTTGTGTTTTGTTTCATTCACACATATTTGAGTAATCCTTTATTATTAGTCTGTCAACATCTCCAAAGCTCAAAATTGTTTTCAGTTTCAAAGAAGAACTCAACCTAAAATGCAGGGTTTGTGTGTTAAACATGTGTGAATTAAAAAAACACAACTCCAGGCATGTTTTTGATGAGAAAATAACATTATAACAGATCAGAAAATAGTGTAATGTGGGCCCTTAAGATTAATTTCATTGATCCCCAGAGAGAAATTTATTCTCTGCTGTGTTAAGTTGTGAATTTATTTTTCATGCAGTTCATTCAAGTTGTGCAAGATTATTGATTACCTCATTTCCCAGATTTTCAACAAATTACACATTCAAAACAAATACTTTCTGCGACGTCATGTCATTTGAGAATGCTAGGATCCAAATTTTGATATCTGACGCAACGCTTCCAATCAGGTGATGCAAACCCCAGCTGCGGTGTCACTATCTGATCCCCCGAACTCGCCTCTCTCCCTCACTCATTCTGCCGTTCGCTCCAACACATGTGCCTCCCAGATGAGAGGGACCACCGCCGCCCCTGCACCCTGCCCCTCAGCCACCCTCTCTCCACCTAAACACAGAGTTCAAAGGGCTACTCGCCTCCTCCAGACCATGAAAGCCAGATGAATCCTGGGATCAAAGACGCCCGCCCCCACCCCACCCCGCCCTGTCCCTCCGCCGCCTCGCACCCCTGCTCGATTGGTTACCCGGCTCTCTTCCCACATCTTGAGGCCTTGAGATGGCTAATAGACTTTGTTCGTGCTGGGATTTAGTGGCGATGCCTTCAGATATGGTAAGGAGACCCCCTTCGCCGGATTAGACAACAGAATGATTTAAACACATCTGTGCAGCGCAGGCAGCATTAACATAAGCACAAGTGTTAGTCAGTGCCTTTCAACTGTCATTATGATGGACGCCGGGACCCCTCTGTATAATATGAGACAGAGGAAGACGAGGGGTGCTAGGGAGTAACAGTGTGCACCAACCATCCTCTTCCTGTTTCCTGTTTTTACCTTTCTTTGCTTGAGCACTTACGTCGTACAGAGTTGAGCTGAGAGTTGTCAAAAAAAAAAAAAAAAAAAAACATACCCAGATACTAATCAATAATAAAACTATCATCAAAACTGCATACTCATTTGAAAAACATCGTAGATTCCTGCCAATGAAACTACTCTACATCGCATCAGATTTGAGAAGTTGTTTTGTATCATATTTTTGTATATTTATGGAGAATTGTTGTGACGTAGGCTTGTAGGCCAAGCATTGCACAGAATCTTATATCTAACTGTAAGGAGGCTTCGAATTAGCCTGACTCATCAGCTGGTTTCACTTCGTGGAAACCGCCTGACCTCGCAACATTAGGATTTGTTTGCTCGACGTTAGGTAGGTACTATTTTATTTTTAACCAGTCGCTGCTGTTTGGTTGTGATATATGTAATGTGCTGCTAATGGGGCAAGAAGGGCAATAACGTCTTTCCCCTTGATAAAATTCACCAAACATTCTCTTTGCTCCGGCTTTAAATCCTCGATCTCGGGAATCGTTGCCAACACAGAATATATGGCTTTGTCTACATCCATCTCGACCGCTTTGTTTACTGTTGTGCTGTTCCACAAAAGGCACCCAGACAGGCGCTTGAGTTTGATATCATAGCTTCACAGCTCTTCGCTGATTGGCCGGGGTGCGGACTACAACTTCCCGGGTTCGTGCAAAGCGTCTAGTGTAGGTGGCGACCGCCTGGCTAGGTTCGAATAGTGCTGGGAGAGATTGCTAAAATACTCAAACATGAATGGATGACATATAAAACCACTTCAGGCATGTTTTTGATGAGGGAACACCATTATAACATGGTAGGGAAAAAAATAAATGTGGAATGGTATTGAAGTATATTCTGAACTAGTACAATACCTCATGTTAACACTATTTCTGCCTAATAATCTAATATATAGTATCAAAATCAAGTTGGAAAATTATGTGGCTTCTCTATCAGGACCTATGACCAATCATATCCATTCATTTCTAAAAGCAGCATACACACTGGGTTGATATTGTTTAGGTTAAAATAATCTTACTTTTGTGTATCTCTACTCCTCTACCACATCTGTTATTAGAGGTCTATGCCCTGACAGAAGTCTTACCTGTATGTTTGGATTCTGCCCGTTGATGTCGGCCTTGGAGAGGTCAGGGAAGTTGTGCAGGTCCAAGAGGAATGCTCCGGGAGTGTCTCTGTGCAGGCTGCTCCCGGTGCCTTGTGCCCATGGCAGAGAGGCAGGACGAGGGGCCAGCCTGTGTCCTGGACCAGATCTCCGCCGCTCCGACTCCAGCTGACCAGAAGAGCTCCTTTTTGTATTGATATTGTTCTGTTAGGAAACCAAAGTAAGACATTATGAGGCAGGTGGAAAGATGTTATAATGTAATGTAATAATAAATAAAGTCCAGTTAGTATTTGCCAGTTAACTTTTAATTTAAAAGGCAGAACATGAACAACAATAGGCTCTATTCACGCTTACGTCACAAACCAGCAAGACGTTTGGAAAGATGCGATTACAACTTCCCAGGCCCAGTTTTCTTCATCTACATGTCACTGTAGTGTTTCATTACGTTCTGCTAATCAACAATTACAACCACACCTCCGTTTTCATAATTTCCCCACTGACACACGACTCCGAGCGCACTGGGTACATGCGATTAGAAGAGATGAAGGCGCCAAATTCAAGATGATTCCAAACAGCACATACATATGCAGTCTTCATTTTATCGCTGATGACATTTACTTCCTTGAGTTTTATCACAGTCGGTCGATGTTAGGTGAGCCCACTGTCAGTAACTACACCAGAAGTTGTAATCGCATCTTTCTAAACTTCCTGGTTTTGTGACATAAGCGTGAATAGAACCTATTGTGTTTTAAATTAAACAAATGAAATCTAACATGGTCACATTTTTATACAGTATTTTCCCACTTTCATGGCTCTCAGAGTGCTTTACATCAAGAAACCACTGACCCACTCATATACCAATGTACGTAGACAATGGAGAAGAGATGGGTTAAGTGTCTTGCCAAAGGACACAACAACAGCAGCATTCATATGTGGGAGCTGTGGGTTAGTGGATCAGCACAATATGTCTTACTGTATGTCGAGGGTGGAATTTGAATCGCTGACCTTCAGATCAGCGGACAAACGCTCCAACACACCAACTGAGCTACTGTCACCCCCCTTCTGGGACGTCTTGGTGTCTTGATTTGCCCAAGGACACGACAGCTACACGCAACATGGGGGAGAATTGAACCACTTTGTTACATCCCGTGCAACTAACAAGTCTATGTACAGTAAGCCAGTAATGCGGACATCCGTTGTATATGAAGCGTAGCACCCACAGGTCTGTATCTGACCTTGTGGGCTTAACCTCAAACACAGATAGAAAAGTGGGACAAACTTCATACTTGGGGCGTCTGTCTGCACGGACCAGAATACAACTGAGTATAGCCTGTACTTATGCCAATGTCACAGCTAGACAGTGTATTTTCCATTTTTAACTGACAGTGTACTGCTCTTGCTCTATATAGCTCGTATGGGGCAGCCTGGTGAAAAATAAACACGGGAGACCAATGCTTTTCTAGCACTTGTGCAGAAACCAAAGCATAACATTACAAAATAATTACTCCTGCTTTTCTTGTAGTTGGGAACACATTTGGTCTGCTGACGGGGGGTTGAGGTATAAATGTCCCAAATGGAGAGCTATACGACGTATGTCTCATGTCAAATGTATGCATAGAAGAACAATTACGTCTCAAATGAACAGACAGGGAAATAGTCAGCAATCTTGTGTTCTGGGGTGGCAGCAGAGAGATCAAACGTAGTCATCCATCAGAGCTCTGTTTGGGTTTCCATGTCTGGTTTGTGCTCCTCGTGTTTGTGTGGGGAGCAGAGGCTCAGAGGATGGCAGCAGGACAGGAGGCTGTGGTGGCTGCGGTGCCACTATAGCCCTCAGTGGAGCGCTTTTGAGGAACATTTGGAATAAGAACTGTATACTTATTGCAACTACTTTTTTGTACTTTATTATTTTGAGATAACAATTCAACTATTTATTATCATTTCAACATGCCTATATGTACAATTGTAAAACTTTAGACTACAATTTAGTTTTGTAAATTAATTTTGGGAATCAGCGACACTGTTTTTGTTTTGTTTTTTTTAATCTATTACTTAGACCTTAATCACAACTGTTCTCCTCATATTGCTCAATCATGATCTGCAAACTGATTAGTTTTGTCTTATCAACAACAAATAAACGTGACATTCAATATTAGTTCCTTGAGCATAAACAAGACAGACTTTTACTCAATGCAATTTAACACAAAAAGTATAATTTCTTTTTCCTGTACAAGTATGAACTCCACTCCACATTTACTACCAGAGGATTGGTTCATTAGAATGACCCAAGCTCATCATTGACAATTAGAGAAATAACAGAATCTTGATCTATGTCAATCTGTGTGTCAGTCATCCATTGGTTTTTCAAAATAAAACAAAAAATAAGAAAACAAAAAAACAACTATTTTCTTCATTATTTGTCTCCAAAACCAAAATGGATAACAGTTAGTTTTTTCAGTTTTAAATTTTGTGTTTAAATGAATAATTTACTGTTTCCGTGACTTAAACTGCGATACCGGACTTTTGCGGCCCATAAGGACTGAACCAGGACTGAAACACGACTAAAACAGGACCACACCAGGACTAAACAGGAACTGAACCAGGACTAAACTAAATCTAAGTCTAAATCAGGACTGAATCTCAGTCCTGATCTGGTCCCTGTCTCAGTCCTGGTCTCAGTCCTGGTCAGGTCCCAGTCTCAGTCCTGGTCTGGTCCCGGTCTCAGTCCCGGTCTCAGTCCTAGTCCTGGTCTGGTCCCGGTCTCAGACCTTGTTTGGTCCTGGTCTGGTCCTGGTCTCAGTCCTGATCACCCGACAGCCTACGTGGGTGCACCTCCGGGCCCATCCCGACACTCAGTCTTGGTTTAGTCCTGGTGTAGTCCTGTTTTTGTTCTGGTTCAGATCTGGTTTAGTCCTGGTTCAGTCTGGCAACACAGTTTAAGTCACGGAAATGGGAAATTATTCATTTAAACACAAAATTGAAAACTAATCATAAAAAAATAATCGTTATCTGTTTCTTCATTTTGGTTTTGGAGAAAAAATTGTTTTAGTTTTTTTTTCATGTTCTAACGAATGATACACAGCTTTATGTCCACTCTGGGACAGTGTTAATTTGCTCAGTGCACTACAAACCTTGATAGAGGAGAATGTACAATATAAAACTACAGTTCAAATAGAGATTAGATGGGCAACAAACCAGAGGGACCACTAACTCCTCCTGTTTTGATTTTTAGTACACTACTGGAATCAGACAACCCCACTGTGATCATTTAATCCGGGCCTAAGAATTCAAAACATCTTCACAACGCATGTCTTAATGGTAGCTACTGCTATAATTGCACTCATTATACAATTGCCTGTAATTTGGAGGGTAAGATAGTTCTTGTGTGTGTTGCCTCCAGCCATCAAATGAAAAGAGGGAGTACTTAGTGTTTATTATAATCTTTATAGGAAATCATCAAAGTTGGGCTTCAATTTTGAAAGTTCATTTGACAATTAAAATGAGGTTAACCTAATATGGGTATGGAGATAGGAGGATTATGAAGAGCAGACCAAAGCTTATTCCATGCATTAGTTATTGACCCATTATGAGAACATCACAGGGTTCTCTCTGGGTTTATCCTGAGTACTTGGGCTTCAAGATGGCTGCCTGATAACCCTGCCTTTCAAGTTCACAGCTTTAGAAGTCACTGTAAAGCCACTTCGCCAAGGGACGCTCAAAAACACAAAAACTCCCCAAAGAGTTAATCACAGTATTCAGCGCACACCTATGGCAAATATAATGGAAATCTACTTTTATCTCTTTGTCTTGAGGACCACACAAGCAGCTTTGATACTATTCAGTTTTATAATGCTGATTGAACATAGAGCCAGAAAACACTTAACAAGTCCACACTTCACGGCCGCTGAAAAGAAATCCTTTTTTCGTTGCAAAATGTGTTCTGAATGCAAGCCATCTTATGCAAACACTTGTAACCACAGACACAAAAATACAGTCGTTCCCAAAGCACATGACAATTAAAGACATACTATGCACAGGTCTGTCAAAATATGTATTATTGTTTTAGCTGGAATCTTCCAAAATATGGCATTAAACTTATGTATCTTGCATGTGTTTAGGTGTTCAAAAATCCACTGAAAACATGCATTTCTACTGTATATGGGCTCACCTCTCCACAGATCTGACCTGTATATTGTCACCTGGTTGTCTCCTCAGTGATGGAGAGGTTTAATACCATTCTGTGTGACATTCATGGCAAAAAAATAACTATAATCATATCTCCATGGAGACAAACAGGTGACGGACCCTCCACCAGAAAAGTTTCACCTTAAACCAGCCAAACATGAATCTCAGTAAGTCTGATCGCTCTCTTACAACATGAACTGGAAGCTGGGTAATGTTATTTTGACAGAAAAGTGGTTTATTTTCAAGATGAATTTGAAAAAGTGAATGTAATAAAATGCAATACAGTTTGTTTATGTCTAGCCTAACCATATGTTGATGTTCTCTTGACAGGCGTGCAGTTATATTCAGAAGCTTTCATTTTCCAATTTCCGACCCAGAGAAATTCTCTAAACATTTCTATGATACACTTTGCTCTAGGACATGTCCATTATGGGTTTTTTCAGGTCAACTATGCACACAAAATGTGAAGGATTAATTTAAGACTCATAAAGGATACCACAATACCAAGGGTAAGTCAGATCCAATCACCAATCCAACTTGTGCAATAATGAAGCAGCAAAACCATCAACCCCCTCAGCCCCTCTTCTTCACCACTACCAGTCTAGAAGATCTTGCCAAAGTTCAGTAAACTATTCATCGCAGAGTGAATATTCTTTCACATCTGTTTAAGTTTCTCTCAGTTGAAAAATGCATTGCACTACACTAATGATTTACCCCACAATGGTGACCGCAGAAACCTCAGATGAACACATTGACTGTCATGTTATTTCTACCTCTCTATGGATCCTTTTGAGAGAAGCCTGTGCTCCTGCTGTGTGGGGACTGACAGTTTTAAAAAGCAGAATCAGCAGTGTTCCTCTTTGAAGGCGGCCTGATTTACAGTCCCTCTGTGTCACGTGAGTGCCCTCATCGGGGAGCGAGCTTTAATTTGGAGATCAAAAGTGACACATCATTGCTCAGTTGATGTGGGGCCTCCCAGGATGTCACCCCCATCGCACTGAGGCTGAATGAGCAGAGCACTGTGTGCCCCCTCCCCTCCCTGTCCAGCCTGTGTCCTGTGTCTTCTCGCTCCCTTGTTTCACTTTGTGCGCGCTGCTTAAAGGGGCATGACTCCAGACTGAATTGGGACCCACTCAGGGGTCCTTCCCCCGGGGAGGCTGCAGGAAATGAAGGCAGTGCACATTGTGCCAGATGCTTTTCAGTGCTACACTTGTGAAGGTGCGAACCAAAACTATCTGTCCTGCTCAGACGCCTCATCCTGTGTCCTCCCCACATGTTTATTTACATGACAAACTCTGCACATTGAAGGGCCAGTCAACCCCAACACTGTAACCTAACGGGGAACAATGTCAGAAATAATGGGCATGATATCACTATCCAAAGACCTTTACACTTTGTTTTTCAAAATGCACATGTTTTATTGCAGACAGAAGGAAAAAAAATCAATTTCAGTGCAACTAGAGATGCACTGATCAAACCTTTTCACTTCTAATACTGATTTCAATACTTTGGCTTTAATCTTCTTATACTTGATATGAAGCAGATATCACATTTCATATTTCTTTCCTTACAATGCAAATAACACCACAAAATGTGGAATGTAACTATATATGTTCAACTTATTGCGGAGAACTTTTGTATACATACAAGTTCAATCATTATGAGACGGCCTGTGCCAGCATCAGCCAGTAAATATTCCTTTTCTTCTTTATTGGTGCAAACACACATTTTTGTTTTCATTGTGAACTATTATTATATGGAACTCTACCTAATATAGCAACATCTAATAGCACCTCTACAGCCAACTAACTCTAAACTTTTAGATCTTAATCTTAAAGTGAATAAAGATTACACAACACATCCTTATCAGGGTAATAAATGTAGTGGTAATACAGTAGCCTGCCATTAGATATCATCACATCCCTGGGGTCATGTTTGTACTTGTGAATTTTACAAAATAGGACACTGGACAGGTGTGCCTCTGTGGGTCAGTGACGATAATGTGCTCTGAATCTTGTCCTGCTACAGGTGCATAGAGCTGCTTCATCCTGTCATTTGTGCCACACTCAATAGCATTTTAAATATGACACTTTGAGCCAACAATTCTCCAACAATACACCCCCTGGGCCGTGACAAGCCCCGGTGAAAGATGACATCACCGTCTTCTGTAGCAAACCAGTCAAGCATATCCGCACATAGTCAGAGCATTCAGGAGCAAGAAGCTATTCAGGCCCTGTCTCTACATGGGGCAATGCATCAGCAGCCAGTATCCCAGTGTAATGTTCAATAGCGTGTGTGTGTGTGTGTGTGTGTGTGTGTGTGTGTCTGTGTCGGGGTGTGTGTGGGTGTGTGTGTGTATGTGTGTGTGTATTATTTTACATTGTTTGGTCAAGAGGGACTCCCTTCTTATTGTGCATGTCCTGTTCAGTGTTGGCAGAGGGACAAATATTTGATAAATTCCTGAAATATTTCCTCAGCTTTGCATGGTCCACTATCTATCTGAACACAGGCCCGCTGTTATAGTGATACACTTTCAGGAGGGCATGGCTGCATGTCTGGGGTAAGCCACTAAATGTTTTTAATGTTCAAAATAACATAAGTAGGGAAGACGGCAAGTGCTACAACCATATTTGAATCTCTAAAGCGATATTCACATTTGGAAAATCATTTATTGAGATTGATTGGGAATGTCAGTAATGATTACTCAGCCATCCTGTTGTGTTATATAGAAATAAAGTTTCAGTGAGTTGTCCTCTGGGCAAGTTTTATCAGATAAAGAACAATTACATTGTCACATAAGGTTATAGGTTTATCTTTTTTATTTCTTTATTTACTAAAACCCAAATAACTGGTATAATGACATTGAATTTATTGTACAATATCTGGTAGAATAAACTACATGAGTATGACTCTTGCTTGCTATATTTACCCAAACTCAAGTCAGAAAAAGGTTGGCATGGTGACTTTGACTTAACATTACTCCACTTTGCCCTGTGGTATTCCTGTGCCTTACATATCCAGTCTTCAGCTGAAATTCTTTTCATTCATTCTTGTCAGGGTCTAATAAGGCCCAGTGTAAGGTTGTAATTCCAGGGAGCATGAAAAAACATTTATCACTAAGGCATGAAAAAAGAGCCACTAAAGTGTTTCTACAGCAGCTAAATATACATCTAAACCAGAAAAGGAACACCCTTTAAAAGACTGCTGATCCCAGAGCCATGATTCTAGCCCTCTGGATTTGAAGCTCTAGTGGGAGCCCCCTCTGTGAATGTTCAAATAGACAGTTAACTGTTAGGACTCTGTCACGTGGGCCCATTCATTTATAGCATTATGTCACTTTGAGTAACCCATTGTCTAATGCTCATGGGGACTTTTGGGGCCTGTATAAAAGAAAAAAGGAACAGCAATATTGCCCTATGGGACTAAAATGTGAGACTGCATAATGACAGTTGAAATTATCCCAAACTAAGGCCAAAGGCTGAGTCAGGAGTAAAAATGCAAATACAGATCATAGACTTTAATTGAAAGCTGACTCTCTCCTGCAGCCTCTGCTCTGAGTGATGCTCGCGGAGGCTCGGCTCGGGGGGCTCGGCTCTGACCCTCGTCTCATCGACTGAACGCTTGGCTGACAGTGATGAGCACATGATGACAGAGAAGCGCCTGCAGCGCACATTTAATCCTAACAATAGGGAGGTGTGTCTGGGCTCGGGCTGATCTCTGACCTGCCTCCCTGCTCCATCCTCTGCTGACGGACGGGCGAACTGACAGACACTCTGTCTCCAGGGATGAGCAGTCAATAAGCACCATGGTGCACGCATGACAACGCACAGCTCAAGGAAAAGAGCCTTTGTTTTACCCCAAAGACTTTTTTAAGCAAACTATGCCTCACAGAAGTACTTTGACACTCACCTCTGTCAGAGCTGCGTCCTGGTCCAGGCTCGTGACGTTCGCCTGTGGCAGCGGGCTGCTCCTTAGGACCGTGATGTGCAGCGTGAGCAGAAGAAGTCCCAAGAGGAGCAACAGTTCTGCCGCCAGACGCACCATCCTTTTGACGCGGCCGCTCTTCGGAGCCTGCTCTGTGACCTGCGAGACTCCCACTCCTCCTCCTCCCGGTGCAGAGACTCCAATCTCCGGATCCGCCGGGGACGAGGAGCCGCAACACCACTTGGGAGCCACCTCGGGATCAGGAATGCAAATATCGAAGGGAAAATGATCGAAGATTGTTTTTCTAAATCTGGCTCGGGCTAGATCCAGGTTCCTCTTTGAATAGTGTAAACAAGCACTCTTCCTATCATTAAATCGTTATTAAAGTTTCATTTATGCTGGATGAAAGCTGAATAAACAGATATGGTACTGCTGGTCTGACGCACAGCGCTTCACTTCACGCTATAGTCGCGCGTAAAACTTGGAGCCGTGCTTCTCCTTGGAGTCCCCGCCACATTCTCACTCTGAAGTCTTCCTCAAGTCCACTTTACGACGGTTTCTCTCCTCATTCTGCGCCACGCACCTCAGACTGGTGTCAAAAGTTAAACTTCCCTTGGAGAGACTCCTCACAGTAGACTGTTTCATGCGCAAATCTTGTCCATTGTTGTTTTTCGAATGTCCATTGAAAACATGTCTAAGACGGTGTCTAGTCTTCTCGTTGGTGAAATCAAGTCAAACCAAATCCCAAGTAGAACCCACTGAGACACACGCTGTTCCTGTTGTGCGCTTTAGAGGTGGTTTTATACCACACGCCCCTGCGCGCGCTCCCTCCCCCTCGTTAACTCTTTCGCCCTCAAAGCGTCCCACTCACGCCAAATCCGGAGACACCAAAGTTTTAGCCCCGAGTGCTCGCGGTCGAGTGACGCTTAAAGTGACGCTCCAAGTCAAACGCTCAATTACGCACAGGATTCTTGAGAAAATATTTTGAATTCTATAGAAGAAATGCCATTATACTGAACCTCTTTTGCAGTCCTTAAGTAACCTTGGTGGTCCCCGGAGGCGCAATGGCACAGGCGCGTCCAGAGCGGAGGTAGAAGTCCCTCAGTGTTCCTGTATACACAACAGCACCGGCTCACGTTTCAGTGTTTGTGTGCGATTTAAAGGCGCTGTAACACTTCACTTAAGCAAGACAAACGGTGACTGTAACGTGATTAAGCCTTTTATTGTGCGCTTCAAAAGGCTCATTGTGTCAAGTCAAGAAGAGAGTCACTTTAACACATCCACGCCACTCCAAAGTTTACACAGAAACACACTTTGCACAGGTTAGGCCTCGTGATTGTGGGCTTGTACTACGGGACCCATATAATGCTGATAAAACGGGTTATAACACATATCCTTCCCCTGAATAAACAACAAAAATAATGCTTTGAGACACATTATCCCATCAAGAAACTAAGGCAAGAAATAATACAAATAGATTTTTCTATAAATTAACTTTAATAATGTGATGGTGGGAGTCAAGTGGAGTGATATCCACATTATGGCAGCCACATCCCAAAGAGTTTGACCCAGTACAGCTGTAAATATAGAAGTTATTTATCACAAGGAGTATTTTAATAACTTAGCTCTGATTATAGAAAATGATTCATATGACAATGTCACTTATTTTTTGTGAATGCTGTACTAATAATACGGCCTCTCTTGTGCTACAGTCCCCGTCTTTAGTCCACACTGTGCAGAGCTGTCATAACCATGCAAATCTGTCCTTTGTCTGCTTCACTTCAAAAATCCCTTTGCACAGAATCAAACAATCTTTTCTGTAAATGGAAAACAGAGAGCCGCGAGAATGGCTTGCCTGCTTTGGATACAGTGGTGCACATCAAAGGTCTTAGCAGAGAGGATCCCCTTCAGAATAGCTGCTACATGCCATTCCAATAAGTGCGGCGCATTTGGATCTGTAGTTCAAAAGAGGCTGGTGCGGCCAGGTCTCCGGGGCCTCTCCACCGGTAGTCTGGCTGCACAGATGTTTCGAATGCCAGCCCTTTGCAGCATTTGCCACTTGTGCTGAGGCAGAGGGCAGCTGGAAGTGAACCAGGCAGCTCTGGTTCGAGACATGTGCTCCCCACCTTGTCGTCCAGTCAGCCTTTATTACACACACACTTAGGAGCATATTGATGTGTTTAGGAAGGACTGCAGTTACCTTTACTATAAGGGAGGTTTGAAGGTTTTCAGAGGCAGGTACTAGCATACTCTTTGAATACATTTTTATGAGTCTACTCCTATTATATTGTCAAGGATGTTTTCAGAGATATATATGTACACAGTGAAATTTATTTCTTCATTGAAAAGGATAGTTTTGTCTGAATGTAATAAATTAATTTTTTTTTTATAGTTGGGTGAAGACATAAATAATACTTTTTTGATGGGTTTATCAAAGCTTGAAGAAAGAGTACAAACAAATTGTTAAAAATGGTCCAGGAGCTCAATAGAAAGAACATATTTTTGAGATCTTGATAAACAATAATGCCTTGGTGGAGACTTGCTGCCTCCTGTACTTCTTGTTGCTATGTACTTTTTCTTTCATTTCCCCCTTGACAACAATGTAAAAAATCCTCTCTGTATCTTAAGTCCAATGGAGCTCAAAGATGACCCAAATGAATCCCAGACTCTCTCAGGACGTCAGCGTACCTCACACCAGATCCGAGGCCACCTTCTCGCGCCTCGTCCAAATCTTTCTGGAACACGACACGGGATGACATCACAGAGCGGTGTGGATTAGAGTCCTGTATTGTTGCTGGAGATAGGAGCCAGATGTGAGTATTTATTTACAGATCAAAGATGTGATCCCTTATACAGTGTACAGCTGATACGGGTCCCCTTTCTTCATATTCTGGCCTCTAGTTCATATTGTACAGGCACAATCCACAAGTTGGAATGTTTAACATGTTTCTCATAACAGAATGGAAAACTGTTCTATGGGCACATGAAATCAAATTTGAAGATAAAAGATAAAAAAAGAATTTGTCTACCACAAAAACGTAGTATGTCTTAACAGTACAATCTACAGTCTATTTCTTAATTTAACCAGAAGAATACTAGACAACCTAAGCAGGACTAAACCATCATGACATACCATATGCCTAAAGCCCAACTCAGTAATATCCCATATAGTGTAAATGAAAAAAAAAAAAGTGTGTTTTTACAGCTCAGAAATACATGGAAAAATTGCCTTTCCACAGACCTGACAAATAATGCCACCTGCTTGATGTTTTCCCAAGGTACATTAGAGTAATAAACACACCTCTTAATAAGTCTATTGTCAAAAATAATGTTTATAGACATGGATGAATAGAACCTCCTTTTTATTCGTATTGTTCAGACTTTGTAGAAAACTGTCAAATTTGGTCAGCTCCAAAATGATTCCTTAAAATGATTCCTTACATTTTTCTCTCTTTTATGTCATACTGTAGTGTTATATATCACCATGCAGTTAACACAAATGAAAACACACAAACATGGCAACGCGTGGAGAGCTAACAAGTGCAGACTGGGTCCTATCTGTAAAACACATTTATCATCTATGTTTTATCCATCCTGTGTTAATCAAATCATTACCCCATACCACTAGAATTTGGAGTTGAGCGCTAATTGCTAGGTTAGGTCTCTGTTGGCTCAGGTGCCTGCATACCCAGAATGCTTATCTTCACAGCTCTGTGTCTGTCTGTAAGGAAGACAAATAAGTCCTTAAAAGATCAACAATTAAGACTAACCCACAAAACATGCCACAACCCATTTTCCAATCTTTTGTTCACATTAAATAGTTTGTGAGTGAAGTAATAGCAGCAGGATACAGTTTGTAATTATATATGGTGATAAATGGGGCGGTCAATGCAGGAGGACAAATTACAATAATCAAGTACTAAATTAATTCTTGCATAAAAATATTAACACAAATATTTACATTTTTAACATTTTGTCACATTTTAATCAGTCTTTGCATTCATTATTTTGCAATTTGCTAACACCAGTATTAACTCTAACAATATGTGTAATGTATAGATTCTTACTTTATGTTATCATAAAATGTTATTTGTAACAATATTGAAAACTGTTTTGGTTTTATACAAATAATTTATAGTGAGTGAGTTATTACAATTGTTCAATTGTTATTATAAACTGGTTTTATAAAAAAAAGTGAAAATCTGATTTTAAAACTGTGCGTATATTTGAAATTTGCAACTGTACAAATATATATAAAAATAAACTCCATAAAATGTGCCCATTCTCTGCTGTGCGTGTCGAGGTAAAATTTTCAGTTGTCTTGTAGTGTCTCACAGATACAGCTGCCACAGACAGGGCGAACGCGGCTGTTTGCGCACACTTTGGTTTGACGCAGTGGTGTGAAGGTCAAAGGTCGCGCCTCAGCCGTCGATCTCGAAGTCTGTCTCGTCGTAGGGGTCGTGCTGCGGGGCATGTCTCCGCCGTGAGAACTTCAGACAGAGCAGGTCCCCGACTTCATTCAGATGGTGCAGCACCTGGACGCAGGCAAAGACACATTAGTACAGGCTATAATGTGTTTTGAAATACAGCTGTGGTAAAAGGTGATAGCTTCTTTTACCCTGACATTAAAAATAATATCAATACTTACACCTATATACTAAATAATAGTGAAAAATAGAAAGCTAAATAAATAATATGACCTCCTTTTTGATAGTATGTTTGTTATAATTAATGCTGTACTGTGTAACCTTTCTGGAGATGTTATTGCTTTTGCTTAGAATGTTCATATGACATGAAACGTATCACTCTTGCATTTATTTATTAATAGGTGTTTTTATTGCTCAAAAACACTTTCAGAATCATGAATTTTACAGTGATTGGGCTTGCCTAGCCAGAGATCTGACCTATAACTTGTCCAGTTGGTATCACCTGCTTTTTTTCCATGGAGCTACATTTAATTCTATACTGGTGACGCTATAACACCTCCACTGAGACAATAAACATGAAATCAAACAAGCCTATGGCTGAAACTGAACAGTAGGGCTACGTGCATCCCTAGTAGGAGGTTTTGTAATTGCAGGATTTCCTTTTAAATAAACTTCCAGCTCTGTTTAACTATCCCATATGAGCCCATACCTGGTCCAGCATGTCTCGGGTGTGGGCCGCAGACAGACAAAAGCGAGCGCGGGCCTCAGTGATGGGAGTGGCAGGGAACCCGACCACCACCACCCCGATCCTCCTCTCCAACATCTCTCGAGCGAAAGCACTGAAACAATACAGAAATAACATCTCCTATAACAGGTTTATACTCAGGGGAGCAGTGGAAATAAGGTGTTTGATGAAGTAAGGAAATGCCAGGGATAATAAGTTTTAGAACACCACACTTTTTCCAGTTTTTCACAGTTTACTGTTGACTAAAGCTTTTTCTAAACTTTTGATTCATCACTGTAGTCATCTTTGGCAGATATAACACGCTGGTGGCATTCATTTTACAATAGAAATCAAATATTCTTCAGAAAGTTCTTTCAAAGTCTGTTGCAGAAGTTTCCATAAATGTGTGGCACTTGTAGGTTGCTTGGATTTCACTCTTCTGTCCCGTTCATCACAAACCATCTTGATGGGGTTTAAGTCTGGAGACTGTGCTGGACACTCCATGCTTTCCAGCTTACCATCTTGTTCTTTTTCCTGAGGTAGTTTTGGCAGAGCTTGAATTGTGTATTGTATCTTTTTGTTTTTTTTTTAACCTCTGGCTGTTCAGTTCTTACCTTTGTACCATTTCAAGCTCTTCAGTGGACTTGCATGACTTGAACTGCAATAAATAACTGGAAAAATTAGGGTGTTCTAAAACTTTTGACCGGTAGTGTATACAAAGCTTGTATGCATCTGACTTCCTTGCCCTCCTAGTACAAGAAGTAGACTACAAGAACACATATTTACAGTTTGCTTGGTTTTCCTTCTTTTAAAAATTAATTCATTAATTCTTATTTTGTAAATACCTATCACAAACATTCAAATAAAATAATTTTAAAAATGAGATTTGTTGTAAAATCATATGCCACAGTCATAGAATGTGTAAAATGGACTAAGAAAGTGTGAGGTCACCCATAGCTTTCAGCCCCAGTCAAATGAAGCTCACGAGGTTGGAAATTATAAGGGCGAATTTGGAGCCAAGTTCCATATCAGGAAGTTTATTTACAGACAAAATAACAAAAATAAATACACCAGGGCCATGTAGAGCAGGTTAATACAAACATTTTAAGACCAAAGTAACAAATCTCATTGCAGCAGTTATAGAGAGAGGGGTGACAAATTTTGAATGCAAAGTCAGTTGGAGCCAGAGTCAGTGGAGCCAGAAGCATTCCCATGCTCACTTCCTATTTGGAACACAGTAGCTACCAGGTTAGCTATGAATATTTATATATACAGCCGATGGCTACAGTAGTTGTAATACTGCTAAATGCATTTACGAATTTTACAAGAAGTATGTTTTCTGCTATGAGTTATAAGGTCACCACCAAAATCTCTAAAATATGTAAATGACCCTTTCACGATAATTGGCTTAAATATCTTGTAATCATCCTCATTACATTACAAAAATACATACTTTTTGAGGGGGGCGACCGCAATGACGTTCCCACTGACCTACACAACTCCCAGCCAAACCATGCAACAGTCTTCATTTTGGACAAATATTTTTATCTAAACCCTCAAATTGCATTTAATAGTGATTTAGTGAGTGGGAGCCATGCGCAGCGGAAGTAGTAGCCATAATGTAGTTTTGCGGTGCAGATTATTTGGCCAGCAACATTCAGATTTATAGCATTGTTTTTACCTCCTCTTTATCACTAACAACTGTAAATTCTGAATCTTTTATTACACTTCTGATAGCTCCAATTACTGGTTTGCTTTGACATTTTCCAGACACTAAAGACGACATGTTTGTAAAATGTATTTGATTATACCTGAGCGTCTTAAACAGGCCAGTGTTTACATGAGCTGAGCCTAAGTAGTTACAGACACCACACTAACCAATTCATGGAAAGTTTGGAGTGAGAAAATGGCAGCCATCCATATCGCTTTAATAACACTCGCTCCACTGGGCCGAAATCGCTTGTGACAAACAGGGAAGGTGTTGTAATCGTTGCAATGTGTTTTAAAAGTTCTTGTAGTGGTCATAGATGGGTGGTACATGTTTCTTTTACTATTATGGATAACTGTTCTTGTGAGTAGAGTAATTTTATTTTTTGAGTAATTGTAAATGTTTTGAGAGTCTTTCTGGATATAATACATAAAGTGATATATGTGGACATTTTATATTTAATATTTCATAAACCTTTTATTGTTTTAGTTCACAGATTATCAGAAAGACATGCCTGTGAATTTTATGGCTAATGTCAATTTGAAATATGCCCTCAATATTAAAAGTGTATTGCGAAATGTTTTTATATTAGTAGGAACACATGCTATAGGTACAGTATACTTGCACTATCTTTGTGTCAAAAGCTTTGTCAGATATAGAGTTGTTTTTGTGTTTCTGAGCTCTGTTTTACACATGAATCCAGTGTTTATTTCAATCAATTACTCTGTACCTCCATATCTGTTTACAAAGCATTTATATTCTACATGAATAATAAAACCTTTATTTACTCTAACTTTGCTCTGCTCACTTCTGAGTTTGAATCAAAAAGTATTTCATGTAGTACCTGTAGTAAAGAGGCTGTTACGGTTAGTACTTACACCACTTTGCCGGGCATGTAGAGCAGGATGGGGACCACAGGTGAGTCATCGTTTCCATAGATGATGAAGCCCATCTCCTTGAGTCTGGCTCTGAAATACCTGGTGTTTTCTGCCAGTTGGCGCACGCGTCTCATCCCTGCAATTCAACCAGGACATATATGGGCGGAGGGAGGACAAGGGAAAAATAAAAATAAATATTCTGGAATTATGCAGAATTTGAATATAAAGTATACTGTCTAAAAAATGCAGCAAAAAATAAAATGAACAGAAAAGCCAAGTGTAAACAGTGATATTTCTGTTAATTTTATAGTCCATTCATGTTTTGTGCAAGACTTGAATCTCAAACAAGGCATTTACAGGCACATTTTAGCCCTGGTGCATTGTTAAACTTCATCCGAAAACTGTTACTGCGCCAATGGAAAAAAATATTGAGATTTTCATTTTTCACCCTTAGATCCACTATTTCTGGTAAAACGGGGTATTTACACTGTTCCCATCTGTCACTATAAGCAAATGACCAGTGGATTTTTGGAAAGCTGTCTTATTGCACTACCCCCATCTGGACCATCCTTTCACCATAAACTTACTCATGATTACAACTCAGCTGTAGCGGCAGATGGCTCATCTTTTCTTTGCTCTTGTAATGGCATGCATTCAAATGATGCTAAACAATTTGCAGACAGGATAAAATATATGTCAAAAACAAGGCACAGGCCGATTATTAAAGATTAAAGGCGCTATGTAGCTTATGTTTTGTTTGTGAGAGGGTCCATTACCTGCTTGTCTTCATGAAGATGTTATTGCTTTGCTTGGAATGGTGCACAAAACAGCTTAAAACTGCTCTTCTGCCTTTGTTGATCAAAATTAAATTAAAAAACTTCTTATAAAGAGCGGAATCACCACTCCACAGATCTGACTTGTAACTGTAATAGTCTAGTGGAGTCAACTGCTTGTCTCCATGTAGCTAGATAAGTTTAATTTGATACTGTGGAAAATTATTGGCAAAGTATTAACATTTCCATCAAGACAACCTCAAGATAAGTTATATAGGGCTCCTTAAACTTTCGTAGAAGAATATATTAGAACTCAAATCTGCAAAACCCAGCTTCCTAACTGTGTTTCTCAGCTGCATTTGGCATGGCCCAGACTTGGAACACTGCTCTGTTTCCCATTCATTACCTGCGAACAGATTGGCAGAGTTTTCAAAGGGGTGTAAGAGAGCACTTTAAATCCCCTTATCTCAGCACAAGGGGATAAAAAAAACCATAACATTTTCAAGCATCTGCCAAAAAGCGCAGGGCCCATTTTGTAAACGGTTCCTTTCTGCGGTGATAGAGGGCGTGCGGGTCAAAAAGCTGTTGCCAGACGCTGGAATTGTATGCGTAGGTGAGAATGCGTGGATGCTCCTGTCTATCAGAGCGTTTTTCTCTTTAGCCACCAGTTCACCTTTGAGTGTGAAATTCAACATGGGAGCAACTAGGGAAAGACCGCAGAAAAGCAAAACAATCTGTGTAGGCCTGTCACGATAACAACATTTGGAGAGTGATATATTACTGAAGGAAATATAGTTGATAAATGATAATATTATAATGAATAAATCATGTCACTGAAACAATTACCCTAAAGAAGGATAGTCTCCCCAAAAACTACACACTACAGTACATGAAGAATGAACAGAATGAACAAGAGTGGTTTGTATCAATAATGAGTAATAAAAGCCACTTATTTGATGGTTATACTAGTAGTAAAGGTACTCATGATAAATATTGAACCCCCAAAATGATTGTTTCATCCATCATTTATTGTACATCAATATAGTAATTATTGTAACAGGTCTAAATCTACATGTTCTGCTGGTGTTATCATAGGCATGGGAAGTTATGTTTTGAAAGACTTCAGTATTTGCGGTGTTCCCCCTCTTGATAAGACAGGTCAAGACTGATTTCTCCATAACAGCGATTTAACGAGGCTACGTCAGACTCTAAGCATGTGCGGTGCAGAGCCAGATGAGAAAGTTACTCATCTCGTCTTTAAACGGTAATTTCCATCAACCATAACATATCGGCGTGTACATGCTGTAGTCATTACCCACTTATCCACAGTAGATATGTTCACTACTTTCTCAGGAAATCACACACATTTTGACAATGACAAACTATCTTCTCATATAATGTAAATATTAGCCAATGCTATTATGTCTAGTATTGCTTGGTGGAAATTCCTTTTCCTCTATTACGTCTTTAAGCATGATTTGTGCACCCAAATATTGCCTCTACGCTACAATACATCATTTAAATTACACCGCGTTACCTCAAAAGTCCCTGTGAGGTGTTTTAAAAAGCACTTAGTGAGTTTTCACTTTGACAAACATAACTTCAAATCATTAGAATGTGTAGTCTCAATGTCACCTCTTACGTCTTACAGAAAAATGGAAAAGGAATGGTGCCTGAGTTTTGGAGTGCCAGTCTCCCCATTCCACAGGCGCATACTCATCACATATTAATTCTTTTGGTTACTTTGCAGTGACTTGTGGACGTTATTCAGACTGGAGGCTGACAAATAGAGTAACACTGCACAGCCCATTTTAACTACATTGTCTCATAACATGTTTCATTCAGTTGCACACATATCAGATCAAATTGGGGCTAAACTGGGACTAAACAAGTGTGACCGCAGCCATACAGGTATCCATGGGTTTCAAAATGATGTGACCGTTGCTATAGCCATTGGCAATTAAAAAACAAATATCAATTATCACAATGAGCCTGTCCCAAACCCCGATAAATATAGATTGCACGGATGTAATGGGGGAACACCAAATTCCAAAGTGGAAGACCAAACTAAAAACCAAGTACATCTCCCTAAAACATACATAATGAATTAAAATACGGCCAACTCTCTTTCAACAAGTGCATGAAAATGTTTGGTAGGTCCTGGTGTTGAGTCGTCCTTTTGTCCGATGTCATTAGAGCAGAGACTTCTCAGAGGTAGAGCCTTCCTCACCAGCCACACATGAGACCGATTTCCTCCATGTTTGGGTCCCGTGTCCCCTCCTCTCTCTCTCTCTCTCTCTGTCTGTAATTGTTCCCACATTTTCAGTCCTACAGCTGTTTGTCTTCCCCCGCAGGTTTAGTACTTACCTCTATGTTAACACTGGAGCCGTCTGACCGATCTGGTTTGCTATTGTTTCCATAAAAGTTATAGCAAGGCGTAAAACATTTCATAAGCTGGGATAATATTTGCAGTGCAGAGGACATAAGGTTTGATGGCCGTGTAGTGAGTGAGGCGGGGGATTGGAGGTGACTTTTACAGGAAATGTTGAAGGGATACTAACCTTCATTGCCCCCGTCTTTTCCCATAATGCACTTCATGGCCCGGATAACCTGCTCAGTGACAGGAGGGGACATGGCGGTGGCATAGACAGCACTGTGGGAATGTCTGCGCAGGTAGTCCACAAGCTCCTATGAAAAACATGACAATATGATGATTTTCAATTGTTCCATTTAAATTCATATAGTACAATATTACATCATATTTTGATTATATATTTACCTTTTTATTGAATATAACTACTTTCTTAATTGCACCCCAGTTTATTATTTAGATTATCTGGTGTATTGGTTGGTTTGGTTGCAGTTGGAGGCAAATCCAAATTTTCTTACTGCATTTTGTCTTTGTACAAGATCTTGACCCATTCATAATCAATATAGTTTTTCACCATTTCAAATTTATATTTACTTTATTTTTTATATTTTAATGTATTAACTATCAACCCCTACTATACCTACATACTTTGGTTGGTTTTAGATTTTTTAGATATGTCAGGATAATCATATCAGGCAGCTGTTATTAGTTAGAAATAATGCACTTACACATCTATCAATTTCATTTCTAAGTGTGACATGTAATTTTCTGATTGACCACTAGAGAGAGCTCATGCACAACCCTCACCTGAGAGTTAATTAAATGCCCTGATATCTCTGGCTCTGTGACTGCATCTGGTTAAAGCTTTGGCCCATCTCCTGCTCTTCACTGCAGAGAGACCAGCCTTTTAATATGAAAGGGAAGTGATGCTGAAATGAGCCAGAATCTGGACTGTCACGCTCATTATTGCTAAATGTCGGCAGTGGATTAAAACGACAGTAGTGGTTATCTGTAGTGGCCAGTTATTTATCACACTGTGGAGACTGAAATCTGAACACGTGGTGGGGATGGGGACATGCCGCTCTTATGCGGACAAAAAACAGGTCCTCATGAAGTCATCAACAACATGATTAAAAGATACATCATGTAACATTTTTGGTAGATGATCCACCACCTACTGGGCTTGAAGGAATGTCCCAGACTAAGTTACAGGTCATATCTGTGGAGAAATGAGCAAGAATGCATGTATTCAGAAGAAATTTTTGTAGCAATCGTCATACTTTAATAATTACAAGGTAGATATGTTTAATGCCATACTGTGAAACATTACAGGTAAAGCAGTGACATAAACGCAAGAAGCTGGCGGACCCGTCATCAGAAAAGTTACTTAGTGCACCTTTAATGTTCAGATATAGGTTAAGGTTAAGATTTGGCAAGTAGTGACTATGGTTGAGGTTAGGATCAGTCTCCAAGGAATGAATATGCGTCAACGCGATCTTTCCAAGAAGGATAAAAACCCAACAAAAGTGCGTGTGTTTGCGTTTGTGCGTGTGTGCGTGTGTGTGTGTGGTTGTGATGTGCTCCTCAGTGGATATGCGGTGGCCTGGCGGGTGTGAGGTGATGACACGTACCCTGGCCACGACTTCCACTCTGTACCATCTGTCCCTGCTGAGCGGTAACTGCGGCTGAAGGGATTTCGAGGCAAATTCTCAAACATAGGACAAGAACCCAGAAACAACCTGACATCTGTTTTCATTTAGGGTGAAGGATCTACTCCGCTTTAGGGCGCCGCAGGAGTTTTGGTGCGACCAAGATAAACCGGTTAAGGGAATATGTCCGAAATGCGTCTAATGTCTTGAGGTTGGGGTAGTTGGGGTGCACTGACAGCTCAGTGTTTCCTTTGCTTTATAGCGCTGGCCGCAGTCGGATGTAGCAGAACATGTCCAGTGTGCCACAGAGCCGGGAGCGCAGCCAAAAACACACACTCACACGCTCCTCTTCCCCAGCAGATGTATTTAATAAGCTCATTTAAATGTCCTCCTTCCTTCTTGAATTGGGCGAGTGTGCACAGCTTCATACAGACTTGCAGTGAATTAGAAGGAGCTTGAAGTGTATTTATTGGGCTATTTATTTTTGGTACTCCCATAAAACAGCTATAACATGACTGTTTTCCAGAACACATCTGCACAGCCTTTTGTCGGTCAACCCGATACCACTTAGTGTCGGATTTGAGGGATTTCACCACAACAACAAATACGTCAATTCTAAGGGTTCTCTCTCTCTTACGCTGCCTGCTTCTTGCTCAAGTTTACTACAGCCAGCTGTCACATCAGGCCCAGCGTTGGTACTTCAAACATTATCATGCTTGTTAAAGGGCATCCTGTTAAATCTGAAGCGCAGTTCCGACTCCTGCCACAAGAAGGGGCTGGACCATTGCCAACTTTACCTTCTTATTACGGCAAAGTGGGGCTGAGCAACATAAGGCCACGGCAGGAAGGGCTCCTCATTGAATACTTAACTCAAACAACATGGCCGTTTCCTCTGATGCTTTTTAATCAAGTGCAACAAAACTGGTGTGGTTATGTACTAAAGTGTACTTTTTAATGGAGTAAAGAGAAATTACAAAGACGCCGAGTCACAACCTGGGAAACATTTGTTGGACACATGACAAATAGGGTGTGACAGAGTGGCACTAGTTAAGACGCAAACAACTGTAGCTGCTCTGGAGCCAAATGTGTTACAGGTTTACTCTAAATGACAAACAACCACTTAAGGTTATTCTCAATAAACACTGAATCCTCAGGTGGTCAAGATCAGTGTTTAGCCATAACAATATACCGTAATTTGATTTATATAGCATATTCAGAACAGATGCATTATATAGTGTCTTTGAACAATCAAGACAATTCTACACTGCATTGTAAATTCACTCTCCACACTTTGTAGTGGTGACCATAGCCACAGCTGCCCTGCAGTTGACTGACAGTATATAAGAAAAGTTTTTGCTTGCAGTGCAAAAACAAAGCTTGCAGGTAAGTAACAAACATGCGCCAAAATGTTAAAATTCTACAAAATATGATGAATCTCAGTTTTCAATCCTACAGTGACCTGGATCAGTTTTAGTGAATAAACTCTCATGCTCATAGTTGAGTACTGAATTGGCAGATGGCAGTATATGTAAAGCAGGGCTAATCCATTGGATCTGGCTTTGCTGTTTGATGCAAAAGAAAAACTTGCATGACTCAGCTTTCACATCCTAATTTCCACAACTTATGTAAAAAGAAAAAGAAAAGAACTGTCAAATCTTCTGTAAATTACTTTGACAGAAGGCTCTGATACAAATGCTGCTGATTACTAAAAAGAAGCATGAAGTAACTACTGTGTGCCACTGCAACCAGTCGTAAAATGAAATATATTAAGATGTAATCAGTTTAACAAAGCCAGACCAGATACATATCCTCAGATATGGGCAAAGGGCAAAAACAATTCATGACTTGTCAGTGGCTTTTGTTGCTACAGAAATAAGGCCAGTTAGTATAAAAGCGTAGAGAAATGTTTTCTGTTTTGTCCAGGAACATAAATATTTGAGCACAGGCTACAATGTGAACTGCTAAATTAATACAGGAATTGTTTGAATTTTGTTTTGCAAATTCAGTGCTGGGTATGGTTAAAAGGTACCATTGTGGTGCTACTGGTAAAAAGTTAAAAGGTAAAGGTCGATAAAAAGCTGGTGCATTTTGCCTGGTGGGTTCTGGTAGAGCTATGTTGTAATGTGCTATGTAATTTCGTCACACATACCCACAGCACAGCAGCATTTAATTAAAATTATGAAGTTCTATTTTGTCATTCTATATAATTATTAATACAGCACCAGGTACCAGTACTAAAAAACAAGTATCACTCAGTACTGGGCTCCCCAAAAATGTAAAGACACCCAGCCCTATGTAAATTAAGTTACAATTGGCAGTGAACTTAAAATGTGTAGCTTTGATTAAAAAACTATTAATCTGGCTGCCCGACCTTTCATGTTTCTGTTTAACCTTTAGTTGAGCCGTTCTTTAATCTATCCCTAAGCACTTCTGTATTACTGCTGCCAGAGACTGCAGCGCTGGTCATTTTAAATGGACTTTTTATGGAAGCATTACAGGAGAGAGTGTGGGACCTTTTTTCCTGCGATGTATCCTCCGGCCGCTCCAAAGCTCTTAGTGAAAGTGCCCATCATGATGTCCACGTCTGCAGTGTTTACATTGAAGAGTTCGGTGACACCTCTACCCGTCGGCCCCACTGCTCCGATACTGTGTGCCTCGTCCAGATACAAGTACGCTCTGTACTTCTTCTTTAGGGCGATGATCTCCGGGAGGCGCACCACTGAGCCCTCCATGCTGCAGACCAGACACAGAAAAAAAACATTACTGACAGAAGAAGAACACCTTTAAACATGTACAAACACAGGACAAGCAGAACATAATTTTATACCCAGAATGCATGAGGGTATGTTTTTGCTCCCGCCAGTGTTAATTTTGACATTAATTCATAATGTAACATAATCAGTAATGACAAAAATCTAACTACCAATAGAAAACAGTACACAAAATAAGAGACAGAGTAGTGGGGACTAGATGCAAGCTTCTAATAAAATATTTTAATGTGAAAAGGAACACATTTTGCAGGTGGTAGAAAGTCCATGAAGCAATGCCATATAATAATCAAAGTGTTTTGAGTGCCTTTAAGGTGGAAAAGTGCTGTATAAAAACATCACCATTTACCATTTAATAATCACAATTGGAATGATTTTTTTTTTTTATGTACCACTTTTAATACACTAAATGTTACATACAGACAAGTGGTATGACATTTTGTTGACTAAAACTTGACTAAAACAAACAAAACAAACCAAAAAAACAATAGAATTAAAAACTCGAACTAAATTGTGTTATCTAAGTGAACAGAGACTCCCTCAGCCCCATCCTTCCCTCCCTCCAAATGTGTCCCTTTTAAGGCTACAAACAGACACATGAGCCAGTAGCACAGGCTGGGGAGTTGAGCGATCCCAGACCCACCATGTCCCAGGACGTCTGCAGCCCAAACGACACAAGGCAGAGTTTCACTGGGACCTGTGTGGACATCAAAGCAGACCCAGGATAGAACCGAAGCATGCTTACTCTTTATCCAGCCTTTTGATGTTTGTAGGGCCAGAGAGGGAGCTTTGGTTCTTCCAGGGCTCTACGGTGGCCACATGTCTCTAATGCCTGCCATTATTGCCTGATAAAGCCACTTTAATGGTGTGCAATTAAGCTGTCTCTCAGATGACCAGAGCTGGTGTGGAACTAATCATTACATTAATGCTCCCTGATGGCTGTCTGCAGGCTTTTATTCGTTTGATGCAGGGAAATAAAACAGTTTGGTCAAGTCTACAGCTGAATGAGTCTGCATAAGGAACACTGACCTTATGACGTGTACTATTGAAGTGTTAAGTTGAAATTAGTGGTGGACAGTACTGATAAAAATTAATATTTGATACTTTTTTGGAGTACCCTGATATTTAGACAATATTATGCCAATCCATCAGAAATGTAATAAAACATGTTAGTTGAGGTTACAGTATGAGAAACGTTCATCTTATCTTGCAGCTTTTTTATTTTAACTGACATACTCAATGAAGAAATAGTTTATTAAGAATGATTTAAGCCTACTAAGTACGTAATTATGGGGTTAAGTTTAAGAGTTTGGCAATGAAATAGTTACTAAGCCTGAATCCTTCTTAATAAACAATTTCTTATTCATAAATTCTTTGTTCATGTTTTCTTATTGCTTATCATGTGTAATTAATATAATGTAAGTGTGACTAAATTGCATATCTTCAAAACAACATTCACAATATTATTACGTATACTATTATACTTACATATTATTATCTGCTCACCTTTATGCAGGAATATAAAACAGTTTGCAAAGCACTACAGCTCTGTATAAGTAGCTCTGACCTCATGACTTCTAAACTGTGGATAGCTGAAATGGAAGTGGCCATGATGAGCACTCTGAGCAGGGGGTGTATCCTAGTCAATCTCTGTGGCTCCATTTGGCCTTGATTTGGAGCTAATGAGCAGATGGAGCAGGTCACTGTGACTCCAGAGTTCTCGCTAACGTGACACACACATGATACCTTTCCCTTCAATGCTCTCATCATACAGAACCTGACTATTAGCCACATGCGCTATTATCAAACGGCAAACAGGGACGCACTGAAACGGAGCCCATTAAAAAACACTGTTAAACGCGGGCTGCAGGTTTGCTCAGGTTACAAATGATGATGTTTCCCTGGGCAGTGGACACATAAAGTCACTAGAGCTGTAGTAGAGTAGTAGAGAAGTAGTGGTCCAAAAAAATACTCAAAGAAAAGTTTAAAAAAAGGGAAATGAAGACATAACCTTAAATGAAGCACAAAATTTGGTATTCAAAGTTGTGGGGAAAAAAAAAAAAAAAAGATATATACGTATGTTTAAATATAAACTGTTCAGTACAAAGCTTTTGTCACTTGCAGACTGTCAAGGTAATATTACACTGTCAAATATATTACTCATGTAGGAAGCAAGAGTTTATGTAACTGAGTAACTGTAACTGAGTACTCCCCACCTCTGGCAGTGTGTTAGGCTCACCTGGTAATAGCTACAGTGGTGTAGTATAATGAACACTGACCTGTAGATGCCTTCCACCATGATAAGGATCTTCTTCCAGGGTCTGTGGGTCCGAGGTTGCCCTGAGGAAATTGCCTCTCTAAGCATCTTCTCCAAACTGTGCATGTCTGAAACACACAAGGCAGCACAGTATAAAAACATGAATTAACAAAGAATAGGGCCTGTATTTGTTGTAAGTGTAATGATTATCTGGACTATACAAACTCTAAAGACATTAAATCAAAAGAGGAATAAACAACTTCTGATTTGGTATATATTTTATATATGTATGTATTTGAAATAAAAGCATATGCATCAATCAGTTGTACACTTTATTTATTTCAGCCTTTGCTTGCTTGCTTTTAAAAGTCTCAATATACAATAGAAATAATCCTTTGACTAGTCAACTAATCAAATAGTCACTGATTGTCTTAATAGTACTATTGCTAAAATAATTGTTAATTGTAGCCCTAAACAAGGGGAAAGCATACTAAACTAAATAATCCTTTATCGGGATTGAGGTAGTATGTCTACATTAGGATAACAGCACTGCAAACAGTAATTATTTGGGCAAGTCATGTCTCAGAGTACAACCTTATCAGCCTGATACACCTTTCACAAACTTAGGATAGGAAATTTCAGCGCTGCCAATGGACACACATTATGTCAAGGGACTATTAGATAAAGTCAATATTCATGTGAAATGTTGGGATAACGCTATTTTGAATTGAGTTGTAATAAAAACAGGCAACGTTTCATTACAATATATCACCCACCAGCAGATGGCAGTGTTGATTAGCTTCATACAGGACAAGGAATTACTCAAGGTCTGACTGCAATCAAAGCATTAAGCTGTCAACACAGGAAATCTCCCACAGATGACTGATAGAAAACACCACAACAGAGACAACAGGTCTAACAACAGGCAACAGATAAAAGCAGATAATTAATCTCTTCTGAGGATGAATTATCTATTGCAGAAGGAAATTACTGAAAGTTGACTATGTTTATGACTGTGATTTAATGTTTACTTCAGTTACTTGAGTTGGTAGTAAATATGACAAAAATGTCTATTAATCGAATGTGGAACTTCCTTTTTGATTTTGGGGACAGAAAACAAAAGACAGGACAAACACGTACCCTTCTCTATGGTACAAGACATATTTGTAGTGACGCTATGGTCCACATAAAAAGAATATGTCTCTTCATGAAACAAGAGCTTGTACTTGTGTTTAATCCACCCATGTTTCATTGATGCTACATCCACTAATGTATCCCTCTTAGTCAATATTTGCTCTCCGTGCTGGCTGTACAGTGCTGTGTGTGGGGTTGGGAGAGGGAGGGGTCAGTGCAGGTGCCTCAGGGCTCTCTCTCTCTCAGGCCTGTGGGAGCTGCTTGGAGGACCCTTAACCGAATGAGCTTGTACCTGTCAGGAGACATTTGCTGCCAGAGGACTGCCTCATTTGTCCTGCTCCCAAAAGAGCACAGGCTCCTTCCAAAGCAGGCACTTTGAATGCTAACCAGTAACTAAAGCTTAGCCATCTCCCTTTGTTATCTGCGGACAGTATCAGTGCTGTAACAGTGCTGTAACATAGCAGTGAAGCCCGGTTTTGCTGCTGTGCGGCAGATGGAGACAACAAAGTCGTGACTGTAAAGTGAACCCACTTCATTAAAGTTTCTAGATTTGCTGGTCTAAACAGAGAATGTTAACTAGATCTTTCCTAAGGCGAATCCTGCTCCACACACAAACAGCAGAGGCTCTGCACAAGTGATGACTGACATCCAAGTTTGAAACAGGAAAAGACTTTTGTTCAATTCACAGTGGTTTAAAAGACATTGGCTCAGCAGATGTATTATTATTATAAAAGGCAAAACAAAAGTATGTTAGACATTAGATAAAAGCAGACTCACTGTTGTGTTTGAACACCCGTATGGTTGCTCCAGACAGTCTGGCACCTAATATGAGGGATGTGTGGTTCAGCTCATCGCTCAGGATCAGACAGCCCTGAAATCACAAACACGTCACTTTACACGCTCTCAGTCAAATGTGTGCATTCTGTTACGTATATGGTATACATTAAAAAGTATGGCAGAGCCTGTGCAATGTAATACCATCACATTAGAGGAAATATAATTTGTCCAATTACTGAAATGTATACGGGCCTTCTCTCTGTAGTAATGCCTCTCAGTTTTGCTCCACTGTATGTCACATAGAGTTAGTAAATAAATGGTCCAAAGTCTACTTATTATGTCTAGTAAGTATTGCACTTATATTATATGTGGGAACATTCTGTATGCAAATGTATTCAATAATTCCAGAGAAATTTCACTTACATTACCATATTTTTCAGTGAAGCTCTAAGCGTTTGACTGTCTTTGTGAGCATGAGCTGACCCTGTCTCAGTGACAAATCCCTGTCTCCCGCTCCAGCAGCAGCAGCTGTCACTCTCATTTGCCTTTGACTGTAGCGGTGGTGCCTGGACACCACACATCCCTGTAGGCTGGACTGGCAGGGTGCTTGACCCTGGTTTCTGGAGGTTTGCTTTGGGGTCTGCTACCGCCTGTGGGGTCTGCACCCCTCCATCTGCATAACACACCCTAGTGTCACCCCTGAACAGCGGACCACCCTCACTCTCATGTCCAGTCTAATCAGAGACATTCATGCTGCGTGTTGCCCTTAGTAACCAGCGGTGGTCTGTGAGTCAGAGTGGAGTGTCGACAGGCCAAAGTATGGATAATCATACCCTCGAGAGCAGCTCCTCTTGTCTATGGCCCTGTACAGTACACGCCTGGAGCCCTGCTCATTTACTCTAAAGTGTCATTATGACTTTAAATTAATTAATGGGGGCGGGGCCATAGTTGTTCACAGTTGGATATTAGTTGACTTGTTTTTATTGGTTTAGGGTAAACACAGGGATTGAAAAAGCAGCACTAATTATAAATTAGCAATGCTGCAAAACAGTGTCTATCTGAAGAAGACAGTTTACACTTCTGATATGTGTGCTGTTTGTTGTGTTGATGCATGTACCTTCTCTACAAGTGCAGGGATGTTCATTGAGTTTGTGGCAAACCCCATTCCAAAGGTCATGGAGGACTCCACTCCAAGGAAATTGGCCACCAGTTGTTCCAGCTCCTGGTGCAGACTCAGGTTTGCTGCAACACAGTAATCAGAAAAGACATTTTATCGAGAAAAAAAACAAAAAAAACCCAAAAAACTCTATTCCTCTGGGTTTATGAGCAGTCCACAGGCTTTCTGTCTCTTTGTCTGTGCTACCAAATCACACTGTGCCAGCCACTTTACACACAGGACAGGTCAACAACACCATACACTTCAGCTTACCACTATTATGTTACTGAATGTGGAGAAGGTGTTTTCAAAATGCATTGTTGTTATTTATTTATCTTCTATTATTACTATTATAATATTGTAGTGTAATGATGTACCAAACCAAGTAAAAAAAAACAACAAATAAATAAATTAAAAAATAATAAATAAATACATAAATAAATAAATTAATTAATTAAATTCATGACCTGAAAATAAAATTACAATTGCTACAAGCCAAATTGCATAGGGTGAGACAGCCAAGTATGATCCACTCCTCCTGCAAACAAAGATCTTATGCCCTTTAACATAATCAGTGACCGCAGAGAGGAGATGTGGAGGTTCAAACAGGCCAAATCTTTCAGAACTCAGCAGAAAATGAGCCCTGAGTGATGCCTGTGAAACTACAGAGCTGTGAGACTGCTGTGTCTTTCAGTGCTTTATAGCCGACCAAGTTCAATCGATGCATACATTTCCTCCACTACACACAGTCCTGGTGCCACCAACAGCTTTTTTAATCAGACGCATTGGCATTTCTCTTTATGGAACATTTCACTAGATGTGGTGCTGTAGGCTAATGATAACCTGACCTCAGTATTGATGTACCGACCTTAAGCTACAGTCCCAGTCCTGCTGTGATGAAAAAGGTACAAATATATATGCATATACTAGGTAGGGATGGACTGTACATCAGTATCAATGATATCAGTGAGTTTTCCAACATATCGGTATTGCCCCAATATTGAATTTATATATAAGATACGTGAGGAACAATTCATTGTCCCTGTAAGGAAATTTGACCTCCGCAGTTGACCCCTTCTTGAATACATTAACTGGAGGATTATACCTACTGTATGGTGAATGCCATTATTGCCATCCAAAATAACTTTCACATGGACAATCTAACTGACTTCTTTTGCATCATAACATAAAAAGCACTTTTGGCTTTAGTGAAAAATAAATAACATCAATCACATGTTTGCTCACAGCATTCGAATTGGAATGTGGCATCTATAATAATCATAATCAATGAATCACTTAGTAGTAATAGTAATCACTCTCATTATACTCTCACCCTTTATTACACAGTAGCGATAATAACTGCTACTGTACACCACATCTGCACAGGTTGATTGGGGGAACCTTAACTGAATATTTAACAAGATGTTAATTACTGCTTTGCCTAACCTAGAGTGAGGTTTTAGTGAGGAAGTCACCTGTGTAACTACAGTACTGCCCAGTCACAATTGTGTCCTCATAAAACACTTTTTGTGCTGTGGCTTCATTCAGTAAAACATTTCAAATGATTACCGGTAGTTAAAACTAAGCACGTTACAATAATGATCGTGTTCGTGTTTGCATTTGTCCGACTGACTTTGTAGTGACATCAAGCTGGGGGTGTTCTACATGTATCTCTATGGTGGAATGTTCAGCAGTTATCATGGAAACACAATACGCACATTAGCAAACGCTGTCAAAAAGGTTTAAGACTCAAAAAACAACAACAACAAAATCAATTTGAACATCACAATTTCAGGAGCCTGGGATCAATACAAGCATTCATGTTCCTGTTTAGGTTTGATTTTCAACAAAAAAGGTGAGAGTGACGAACAGAAATACTGTTGGCTACTGCTAGATATTGTGATTGTAATTTTGTGCAAAAGATTATTTAACAGCACAAATCATCTCACCTGTTCCTACAGTTTCAGCTCTTTTGTATTAAAATAAAGCCCAGATTAAAGTGTAATAGAGCTTCTGACAGAGCAGCGCCTCAGTTAGCATCACACCCACAGGGAATGTTAATGACATCAGTTTCAAGTGATCAATATAACCATCCCCATGCTCAAAGTCACTTTACAATTCCCATAGTCGTTAATAATTAATGGGTAAATACTGTAACATATTATCTTTGATTAATTGTAGGAAACAATGGTTAATTATTTATTATATACTGTTTATGTGGCACAAAGTCTGTCTATTTACAGGGAGTGTTTTCTGTGCCCTTTGCCTCAATGCTCATGACTCAACGCAGTTCAGAAACACGCCATAAAGCAACATAAAATCAGATAAGTCAACTTGGTTTCCATTGTATTTATCTGAATTGAATTTCCTTGAATTGAATTGGCTTGTATGCTGGTAGGGATAGACTATATGACAGTATTGAATGTAACTCTAACTGTGATATAATTCAAAGATACTTACTTGCCTCTAAACACTGAGGTAAGTAAGTAACACTCTAAACTAATACCGCATTTATTCCTTCAAGTCCATTGTTTTGGGGCATATTTAAAAAAAGGACTCTACATATACTGTGGACATAGGCAGTGATGATCACAACAGTGTCACTATCTCACCAGAGTCTTTGCGCTGTACTAAATGATGCCTAATAAGACCTCATGGGATCAGAGCTTGTTATTCCTTCAACCATTCAGTGAGCCAGCTAAAACTTGGACCACAAAGGCAGATACAACTATCCAGAAAGAAAAATAAACATATGAATAAATCAGATAGATGAATAATAAATGGTATGGAGAACACTGACAAACATCGCCATGTAACTAATGATCACAAGTCCAGCGCTTTCGGCTTTGTTTTCAACAGTTCAGATCATGCAACAATGTGCGGCCGCTGCTTTGAGCCATTTTGTCAGCTCGCCTTCAATGAGTTTGCCCTGTGCCCATCCACAGCGCAGCACGCCACTGTCACAAGAGCCATCAAAGAAAATTGGAGAGCTCTTCTGGACTGAAAAAGCATGACTTAGAAAGCAACTGCTGCCAAGTAACAGTATTGGTGTGGAGGAATAAACAGTAGCAATGATACTGGAATATGTCGGATGCTGGTTTTTAAATGATTAAGACACGCAATGAAGTAGGAGTGTCAAAAAGTCAATACCCAGATTAGGGGTGAACAATTTGGAAAAAATATCCAATTGCGATATTTCTGACAAGCATTGCGATTTCCGATTTATAGGGTTCTGATCTAAGTTCACATTTTAAAGGTTTCCAGAAAAATGGACAAAAAACTGAAATATGAATTGAGTAAACTTACTTGTGGTACTCGAAAATTGCAGCCTTTACTAATCTCGTCCATTTAAATTACAATTTTGATTTCATTACGATGAATTGTGCAGCCCTAACCCAGATACTAATCAATACTAAAATTAGTATAAAGAATATATACTCAATTCAACACCAATAAACATGAGGACAAAGACCTTTCCTGAATATGGCCTTTATCAGAAAAATTATAAGACCACATGGTAAGAAACGGCAGTATTATATGCATTGTTTTATTTATTGTATTTCTATCATGGTGGTGGTATCTAAATCTAGATCTTTGTTTGAGATTGAAACACAATTTTAAAATATAAAAAAAAACAGGATTGAATATTTAAAAACTGACCTATAAAGACAAAATGATTTGGTGTTCTCGGAAAAACGTGAGCAGATTCTTAAAAATAACTGGGACTAATACTGGACAAGATTAGACCAGTAATTCTGACTCAGTTCACAATATGCGGTTGTGATGTGAGCTTGAGAGAGAGTTTGATAGACTAAAAAGAACAAATGAAACAAAACTAAATGCCAGATTGCAGATATGTTTTTGAGGAGGGTCCTATATTTCATGTATTAGCCCGCAAAAAAGGCAGTTTAGGCTAATAGGTAATTAGATAGCCTTAACTCTGGTCCACTGGAAATTCATAATCATCTTCAGAAGTCACATTTCCATAACTAATGCCAAATAACCATTGGTCTCAAACTTCACTAGCTAGTCGGTTAATCTTTAAACAAAAAGTTTGAGCTTAAATAATTCTATTCTTTGTGATATCCTTGCAATCTCAGGGTGTGATTTTATTTATTCTCCTGTAGCAATAGCACAGTAAGAGACGCTTAAAACCATCAGAGGCAGTGAGTTCAGAGGGTAAGAGTCCATTCAAATTTAATCTGAAGAGCGCTCTGATCCTCGCTGTTTTAACATTTCCATTGCGTGTATTCTTCTTGCATCTTGTTTAATGTCCATGTATTTCATGATCGTACATTTCTCTTCCCTCATGCTGACCACTATGTAATGATATCAGCTTCTACCCAAATGGTACATAATTTAACAAAGGTTGAATTATTCATCATGCACTGCAGCAACAGACAGATAATTAAACATTTGAGGAGCGTAATATCTAAAACAGATAAATGGGAGATGGAGCTTTATATCCAGTTTGATGTTCAAGCTATTATTCTTTTAAATTAAATCAGAGACTGTTCGGCAATTTGAGCTGTTTAAAGTACAGCAACTAAAGATGGCCGTCAACCTGACACTTTTGACTAAGGGAGTCAAGTTTATTGATAATTGTCATTATTCAGGTCACAGTATCATAGGAATTGACACATTACAATTGTGACAATTATAAATTAACCACATCTTGGTTTAGCTGAACTTGTTTTTTGCATTTTCCCTCTTTACCTCTTGTATTTCTATTCACTGGTGGATTTCTACTTCATTATTTTGTGTTTTTTAGACCAGTTTAATGTTATGAGAATACATTGTTATTGATTAGTCCTGCCTTAATTAAAATTTGATTAAGATCCTATTTCACTTTTAAAACAGTCTCACTACTTCTTTTGTCCTTACTTTAAACTTTTCACATTGAGTTTGGATGAACCTTTACAACGGTTTATGAGTCAGTGCGGTAGATTATTTCCACTGAACCCTGACCATAAAACCATACCTATTTCCTGTCTTGTACTGCACACTCCAACACCATACTGCTGAGTCCTCTCTGCTACCGTCTTCAGGAAATCCACATTGTTCTCTGCAAAACCGAGGTAGTTGTATGAGCCCACATTGATCACATTGGGTATGGTCTTCCCTGTAAACCTGTGCAGATATAAACAGGCAAAAGTCAATTAGAATATTCGCAGACTGGAGGAGTAAATTACACAAAATGAAAAGTAATCAACATTCAATTAAGTGTAATTGCTTGTTATAAATCTGGTACTTCATTTGTGGAGTTCATTCTGAGGAAATGTGACAGTGTCTGATTTCATGCATCCTTTAGCTGCTATTTTTATTACCACGAGCAAGTGTAAAATAATATGTTTACGACAAGATTTATTCACGTTTGAGAGAAGCGTTCAAAATGTACATGTGATTTTAGAGATTGAAATATGCTGAGACGGAATGTTCTGTACACCAGATGTCTTTTCAGGATAAGGAAATATGTTCAGGTAGGTCACCCATGTTCGTAACAGAATTTTTTAAAAGATCATTTTGAAAGTAGTAGTTACTTCCTTTAAAAAAAATCCGACCTATTTTTGCTCACAGCTTGGGTAAAAACGTCAAAAACCCATCTTCATCCTTTAGTGATTCACCTCACTTCACCACATATAACCTGAGTGTCCTATTTCTCACCTTACCTGGTGCATTAAACAGTCTTCAATCCCTAGACATTTCACTCTCACTTTGATTTAGATCTTTATTTACGTCACTTATGTGGTAATAATTCTGTTATACCTGAAAGTCCAGTTGTAGTCGTCAGACACTCTCTCCATGAGGTCAAATACAGGTCCTGGAAGGGTGCATATTGGACGGTTCCAGTTGTCTCGTACTCTCATGTACAGATTACGAGTGTAGAAATTTTCAAAGTCTTGATATAAAGGTACAAAATCCTGTAAAACCAGAAAGTAAATCACAGTTCAACAATAAATTCAACAAAAAATAAATACAAAAGGTCTGCATTAATCACAGTCACATCAAGATTCGAAATTAAATGGTTGTAATTAGCAGATTGCAAAAGTAGTAATTATTTGAGCAACATGATATCCTCATAATGTATTGTTCTAAAAATACAAACCCTGTGTAGTAGTTTACACCTCTACAAAAATATTTTAAAATGCACGTGATTCTTGTGTTCGTTTAGTAAGTCATCTTTCAGTCTTCTCTCAAGGGTTAATGTTCCTGCATATGTTTAAAATATACACTGTGGATATTAAATATAACAATAAATCTATTGCACAGCAAATTCAATTTAAAAATGTATTTTTTTTAAATACAGAATCACCCAGTCCAAATTCACAATACCCAATGTTTTGAAGAGGATACTTGTCTGTTTGCATGTGCACAACAAACCCAACTGGTAAGTCTACACATGTGAAATTACTATCAACTGTTAACAGAATTACTTTTGCTGCTGTATTCTCTAAGCAACTATGAACTTGTCTTTAGAGCAATTTAGCATTTAATATCTGTTAATGGCAGTGTAAAGTTTTCTGTGTTTCAGCTTTATCTGCAGTACAAAAAATGTATGTCTACATCCACTGAGATTTAATTAGAATATTGAGCACATCTCACAAATACTCTGGGGCGTCCTGTCTCACCCATGGCAACTCAAAAGTGAGAAGGAGTAAGAAGGAGAGAGGCAGAGACGGAGAATAAAAGCAAAAAACTGAGAATAACTACCAGGAAAAAACAAAATGTGTTGACACCCAGGGGCATGCATCCGCTTCTGTTTAAAATGTCAAAAGTGCAAGTGCCTACAATGAGCCTGAGTGAGTCCATTTTGTACTTACCTTCTGCTCGGGTCTCTCCTGGGCAACGTGGCACTTCTCTAAACCCACAGCCCTGAGGAAGTCTCTGAAGTAGCCGAAAAGGGTAACCAAGCCGAAGCCCAGGTAAGTCATGACAGCCACGTACAGGGGCGCCTGCTCAAACGCCTCATGCCTGGGCTGCCTGGAGGCGATGCCATTCTCTGGGACATTTTTCTGTACAAAAGTAGCACAGTCTGTAGTTCTATATTGTACAGGGGGGAAACAATGACATTTCAATAAAATAAAATAAAAAGATTTAATATGAAGAGATGGAAGAAATTATATATATCTAACTAATTAGCTGAAGATGTTAAAATATTAGTACGTAATGTTTACCTTTTTCTGTTTTCTTTTGGGGATCACTGCAGTTAGTCCAGTCTGTCAAACTACAGTATACTGTGTACTAAACAAACAGAAAGCCTACCTTACAACATGCTTTAAATCTTTATATCAGGCCCTATAAGAGTTTCTGTATAGAACAGCCGTATTGTTTTTAGTGTTAGTTTCTATTTACAGTTGGGTTTATTAAGCAACAGAAGTATGTTTTGTTAGTTGTTCTGCAAGTTAAGCCCTCTGTGTCCACTATCTGTTGTGAAACAGTATTTACTCTGTACTAGAATATGATACAAGCTGATTCAATTTCACTACGTCACTGGTGCTTTGGGGCTGTGGTTGGAATGAGCAAGGAGAAAAGCTAATAATTAATACATTTAATATTTAAACAGGGCAATCCTTTTCCCAAAATAAAGTCACATTTTGCTGGATTATCAAGGGCACCTTTTAATGAATTGTTCATTGTTTAATTTGAAAGTTCACCTGCAATTAACTTTTCTGATGGGAGGCCTGCTATGTGCTTGTCTTCACAGAGACAAGGTAATTGACTGACCTGAAATGGCAACACTAGGCCAAGTTACAGGTCAGATCTGCGGTGAGGAGACTGTAATTTTTGACATTAAAACACCTGTAGGCTGATTAAACTAATGCGAGAAAGATTTAATGTCAGACCTTAGAACTTTCCAGCCTAAGCAACAACATATCCATGAAGACAAACTCATATCAGACTCTTGAAAGGCTACAAAGTGCACATTTAAGGCTAGTCACTTATGATTAACCTACTTTTATACTTTTATAATGCTTTTTTCTGATCAAGGCACTGCTAGTTCCCATTGACCTAAAACAGGATTTACAAATTTAGTATCAACTATCCTATTTCACTTCTGCCTTTGCATAATCCTGCCTTAGCTGAGATGCTTGCTGTGTGTGGTTTCTATGGGAACCCTTGAACCTACCGCCACAGACACCTTCTTTACAATTAATTTTATTGTCTAATCCTTAAAACAATACACATTAGTTCAGCTTTGTCCAGCTATCTTGAATATTTAACCAGGCCTGTTTATCACGTTTTATTATCCAAACACATCTAACCTAGATCTTGATTACATCCAACAGGAAACTATGCACAGTAGTTGCAAATTTACAACAGCCTAAAACTGCAAAACTTAAACTACTATTTCAGTAGAAAGCCACACAATTATTAACGTTAATTTAGCATTTTACTCTAAGGTTAAATGAAACAAGCTAGCTATAACGCTAACGCAAATTCTGTCCATGTTTACATTTGCTTTATTACTATTTTATTACAATCCGAAGCTTGTTGTCACGTGATAAGTGCAATTGGTGACAACGACAAGTTTCAAGTTTGCACTATATTACATTTTTCATACCAAAAAGTTTCAAATTTGTGTAAACTTATGGAAATACCGGTAGCTAATGTCGCACGAGAGACACAACATTGGTGCGCGCGTCCTCCAGTCACACCCAGGTGTTCAGAGACGTACCTGGATCTTCTTGTGGTATCCATTCACTTTAACATCTTCGCTTTTGGGGCTTTTGTGCTTTGAATGCTGCTTGAGAATCCCGTTGGCAGCAGTCACGGCCATACTCCAGATACTCCAGAGGGTGCGTCTGTGTGCCCCGTGTGTTTGACAGCACGCTGCTAAATCGCTGTTCTTGACTCACGTTACATGTAGTCTGTGGTTATAGGTGACTTCCTCCTTCTGGGCTCAGTGCGCGGAGCCTCTGAAAAAGTGGAACTGTCGCCGTTTGAGACTCACCCGCATCAGCCGCTTCCCCAGACACAATCCACTATGTCACTGTTTGTTTAAAGGTGCACTGCGTAACTTTTCTGGGGGAGTGTCCGTCACCTGTTTGTTCCCATGTGATCTAAATGTTAATACAAAATCTGTCTCCATGGAGAAAAGCAGTTCATTAACCCCACTAGGCTACAGTCTATAGTTACAGCCTGCTCAGTTCAGAATACTACATTTTCAACCTATTTTTCAGCAACCAAACAACACAGACACAACTACTGCTACTACTTTATAGTTTTTTCTTTTTCTTTTTTTCTGCAAATTGTCTAATTAATTAATTAGTTTCATTTAATCAGTGGCTATGCTGATAGGTAAGCAGCCTATAATTAAAGGGCTAGAGTCTAGACTTTTTATTTAGGCCTGATGCCATCACCTTACCAAAATTATAGGTCTATTTGTGCCAGTTTAGTTAGGCTATTGATGAGCTTATGTTTCTTTTTCAGATAGCACACTAAAAGCTGACAAGAGCAATGCCAATTATTTTAACTGCAAATAATAAGGCTGAATCCAATTATTATATATACGTAAAAGGTGAGTGTATTCAGACAAAAGTCTACGCTGTAATGATACTGTTTACATCCCCTGCAGCTACAGTTGCATTGTGTGCATACACAGTAAAGCTAAGCCGGTTTTAAAGCACCAAAGGAGGCTATGTGCCACTCCTTGACTCTGCTGGTTAGTTTCTTGTAGATGATTTACTTGTTGTAGCTGTAATTAAACAGACCACTTGCCGCACTAATCAAAATAAAGGCACCCTTGTAAACTTAGTTTATGCAGACAGACAGTGGACAATGCAGTCTTCCCTGTTGCATTGTTGAAATGCTCCCCACAAGGAGAAAGACAAAGATTTTCTTTCTCTGTAAAAGGTCAACACCTACTCAGTGTGTTGTGGTGCAGTCTCCGGAAGTGCAGAGAGTGTCATTTAGTGGAGTCAAGAGGTAAAAGGGAACAAATAAACGTAAATTTGATAGCCCAGAATTATGTAAAAGCTACAACCTGTTGCTCTTTCTACAATGTTGTGCATGTATCTTTGTTGGCAGCCTCATGTTGCTTCTGTATTATTTTAATATGACAGGCTGCTGCCATAAAAATTGACCATTTAAAGCAAAATATTGTTTATTATAGTCTATATTATATCTTTTGAATGGAAAATACTCTTCAGAATGTTGCATAATATAAGAGGAAAGTGGAAACCTAGAATAAACAGATTTCATATATCTATATATATCTATATATCTATATATATATATATATAGATATATATATATATATATATATATATAGATATATCTATATCTATATATATCTATATATATCTCTATATATATCTCTATCTATCTATCTATCTATCTATATATATATATATATATATATATATATATATATATATTAGTGCTTCTTGTAAACCCATTGTTATTACTTTGAGACAATGACTCAAGTCAAGACTGGATTCAACCCTTCACTCATATGTTTACATTTCTGCATAAATGACAAGTGCGCCCAAAGAAAAAACAAAAAAATCTAGTTCCATATTGCCTTTGGTCATGAGACAGACATGCATGAGCAGAGCAGTCAGCGGAGGTGATAATGTTATGATGAAGCCTCAGAGATAGGAATGCAGGAGCTTGTCTGGACTTTTCACATTGGGAAGCCCTGGTTTTGACAGAACACGCCCTCCTCCCAGTTTATTGGGAATTGGACATGGTTCAGTCTTAGCTCAGCAGAAAAAACACATCATCCTTTTTGGTGTTGTCACATATACACCCAAAACATGTCTCCCTTGCTGTCCTGGATTGATTCGTCCACCTTTTTGACAAACTTCATTTCACCATTCCATTTTATGCCTCTCCCAGTTCGCCGCTTTCACAAACAAAGCTGTCTATTTTTGACACATGTCTCCTGTTCGTAGTCTTTCTATATAAATTGCCTTGCTGTTTTCAATGCATTGTGTGTGAGACTGTGGCTGCAGACACAGAGGCCTTGTGGGATGTGCATGTCAGCTAGCATCACTCCCCTAACTGTCTGCATGTTACATTTTAACTGATGAAACCGGGTGTTTGTAATAACTCAAGATGCTTATCAGAGGAAGTAAAGTGGGACCCACACTGTCACTTACATGAAAGAATATCTGGAAAGTGAAAAATAGTACTGGGGTTTGAAAGAATGGCTTCAGAGAGACAGCGACATATCCTGGTTCTAGATTAGTCTGTCTTTTTCAGAGCAGATGAGTGAACGGTGGCCGGTACGAGACAGTCTTAATATATCAGGTAAAGGTATCCACATCTCTTGTCTAGTCGAGGTAGTGTAGGCGATCTGATGGCTCCCTGTCTTCATCTTTGGATTGCTTTTTGTCAGTGGGACCACATCTAACCTATTTCTGCCAGGACTCATTAGTTATGTTAGTCAAGACAGACAAAAGCACATCTGGGTTTCCTTAATGTTTCTGTGGTAACTGATTAATTTAATTTAAAATAGTTTATATTTTTCATATTTTGTGATGAATATTTTGAACATTTGAAATCAGGCTTCTATGTCTGAAAGAGAAATTAATCTAATATAACTATAAAATACAACAATGGAATTAATAAAATATACATTAAACAATACAAATCACAGCACTGAGTGTGAACATAAAAATTATATTAAATCATCAGTCACTAATGCATCACGTCCATATATCAAGGTGCATGGGTTAAGTGTCTTGCCTAAAGAAACAAGAACAGCACTTCCAATTATCCGAGCTATTCAAACTTTCCATTAAGCCTCTGCTATGCAAAATGACAAGTTTAAAAAAAAAAAATGATAATGTTTACAAGAAACACGCCAAATAGGTTTACCATCTCTGAGCAATTCATTTTCATGCTTTTCCTCACGCTGCTAAACATTGGCATCAAAAAGCTCTCTTTGATTTCCACTGATCTAATTTGCTTTTACCTTTTAACATATTTCCCTTTTTAAGATGTGGAAATTGTTTTGAAGCATCCATGAAAGGCTGCTCTACCTTGAATGCAGATGAATGGAGCAGCAGTACACTGGTAGTAGGATACACAGAGCCCGGGGGGACACGCTTTTATTTCTATACATCTTTCAAGTCAACGGCATGTAACACAGGCTTTGCTGAAGCAGGAGACGTGCCAACACACACTCAACTTATTACATGCTGTTAATAGACTTGCATTAATGACAGGTTGTATTCTTGTAATACCCTCTCATTAACGTCCACTCTAGAGTTGTCTCTCCCCCTTGTGGAAGCAAAGAGAACAACATGTCTAACTCAACTATGCCAATGAACTGTTTGTGTAGAAGTTTTGTTACAATAAATGCATATACTTTAGTAAATAAATACATATGAGAAAATGTTTTATTATAGAGTTAGTGTTGCTATCCTACCCTGAAAATACCTTTCATCCCCTATAAGATGAGGAAGAAGGGAAGTAGGGATCAAGAGCAAATAAAATAAAATAAAATAAATAAAACATGCTGCTTCATTACAGATAATATTGATGATTTGATTCCATCGCTTACCAGTGCTTATATTATTATTATGTCCTTGGGCAAGACACTTCACCTGCCCTGCTTATGCATGAATGTGGTATGAGTGAGCCAATGATGGTGGTCAGAGTTAGCCAGGCTGGTGCCACCTAGTGCTTCTGCTCAATTTCATTCCTCTCCAACTACTAGGTCTGGAATCGGGATACACTAGATGATTTGCAAGAACCCCGGAAGTTGTAGATCACACACCGGCCAGTCAGTGAAGAGCTGTGAAGCCATGACTGGGTCTCATTTTGTGGGACAGCACAACAGTAAACAAAGTGATTGAGATGGATGTAGACAAAGCCGTACATTCTGTGTTGGCAACGATTCCTGAGATCGAGGGTGTAAAGCTGGAACAAAGAGAATGTTTAGTGAAATTTATCAAGGGGAAAGATGTTATTGCCCTTCTTCCTACAGGATTTGGGAAAAGCTTAATATACCAGTTAGCCCCATTAGATACGTCACGAACAAATAGCAGCGACTGGTTAAATAAAAAAATTACCCACCCACCATCAAGCGAATTAATCCTAATCCTGTGAAGTCAAACCGTTTCCATGAAGTGAATCTGATGAATCAGGCTAGGTCGGGGAGGCCAATGGTACAAATTGGCGGCCACATTTATGCCAGTCTACCCCAGGGCAGCTGTGAATGACTAAGCTCATATATAAAGCATAGGATTTTAAAGTGTCTGAAAAACATTTTTGTCATTTTATGGCATAGAAGTAATTACTTTTGTTTATATTATGTAAGGAACATTTCTATTTACCACCCACCTCTGACCATGTAATTTTCATTGTTTACAAAATGGTCTTGGCCTATTTGATGAAAAATCTTAATTATAACAGAAAGTGGTCTTCGCGGACATGTTTGTGTTTGCTGACTATATTACTGTGCACACATAGGTCTCATTTAGGTTTTAAGTGCTTATGGATGAAGTTGTGTCACGCTGTGCAGTTGGAGGCCAGTCCTTTTGCAGTGCTATATTTAAACTTCCCCTGGGGTGCCATTAAATCATGTAATTTCTTCGTCAGGCCGAGTTGACCTCATTTTAATACCCACATCAGACAGCATTAGGGAGAAAAAACATTAAAAGAAGAATATTGAATTTTGTATCTGCAGCGCTGTCTTTGCATTTACATTTCACACTCTTTTCTCTTTTGAGGACATTTTTATCTTGTGCAAACAACATCCGCTGAATGTGCTCAGTTTTCAATTTGGTAAAGATGCCACGTACTGCTCCAGTCTGCTGCCACATGGGAGAGTTGAAAGGCTTGTCTATGTATAGTTTAGCAATGTGTTGAATCCATTTGGACCACCAAGAGGGAATACATCAAACAAGGTTGCCCCATTGTACTGCCTTGGATAAAAATAGGCATTGCATATCATAAATTGGTCATAGAAATAATTGTGTATGCAGTGTTATTTTCAGAGCAAGGAAGATAACATA